TTGGAGGTGCAGTCACCTCTGTATCTCAAATTCATCGACTATGAAAATGCCTGTGATAGCGCAGCGTCGACCGAGAGGTCATCCGGCAACTACTTCGCTACTACGGGGTCCCATCGACAATTATACATCTCATCCAACAGTTATACGACAATGCTACATGCCAAGTAATCCACAACGGGAAACTTATGGAAGCCATCGAAGTGAGGACGGGATTGAGGCAAGGCTGTCTACTAACACCAATGATCTTCCTGATTGCAGTAGATTGGATAATGCGACAGACAACGGCAACCTACGAGAGAACAGGCTTAAAATGGACTGACACAAAAGACTTGAAGGATCTGGACTTCGCCGATGACATATATCTGATTTCCCATAAACTGGAAGAAATGCAAGTGAAAAGCAACAAGTTGGTGATAGAAGAGGCATCAAAGATAGGACTTCAAGTGAACATAGATAAAGCAGAGGTGATGAAGATTTCTGGTTAACACCAACAGCAACAACAACAGACAGCAATCAGCATAAATGGAGGGAACCTGAAAGGAACAACCTCCTTTACATACCTGGGAAGCATCGGTTCAACTACAGGCGGACAGTACTGATGAGGATACCAAAGCAAGGATAGGGAAAGCAAGACCAGCTTTCATTAATCTCAAGTCTGTGTGGAGGTCAACAGCACTCAGCAAGAAAAATAAGATCCGGATTTTTAAATCCAATGTGAAGTCAGTGCTACTCACTATACGGATCAGAGACTTGAACTGCGCGTCATCAAGAGTATCTCAAACAAACTACAGACCTTCATCAACAGCTGTCGTCGCTCAATGCCGGTCAAGATCAGATGGCTGGCCAGAAAAGATCAGCATCAGGGATCTCTGGGAATGAACGAACCAGAAACCGATTGTGCAACAAATACGCAGAAATAAATGAAGATGTATTGGCCATACTCTGAGACATCATAAAGTGATATCACTAGACAGGCCATCGCTCGAGTGGAACCCGAAAGGTAAGCGGCGAGTTGATCGTCAGTGTGAATGTGACTTGGAGGAGTTCATGTGAAGACGAGATGAAAACATGTGGGGAGACTTGGAGCCAGGTGGAAACTCCAGCAGAGAACCGAACGCAATGGAAACGTTTGGCTGAAGCCCTATGTTACTCTAAGAATTAAAGGAAATTTTAATAATAATCCCTGTTTCAAACCCGAAGCATTGTCGTTTAGGCCATTTAAGGACATGTTTTGTGCAACAGGTATCATTTGTTTTTTAATTATTTCATTTTTAGCTCCTAATTTCTGCATTTCCTGTTTATGATAGATTATGTTAGGCCGAAATGCTGCTTTAATGACCACTTTATCTAGGCTGTTCACATGACAACAGCGACATATATGTATATCTATCACCTTGATGACTAGTGATATCTCATAAATTTATCTTACTTAATCTTAACTTACTAAAACTACCTTATTTTCATAGGTATTATTATTATTATTACTATTATTTTCAAGTAGATAGGCTCTAAGATATACCACAAAATAAATTTCCTAACCTTTTTCTCATGAGGTCATTTTATAACCGGATATCGAGGTAGGCATATCTGTGTATTTATGTGTGAGTACAATAAAATTGACGTTGATACCACACAACAGTTGTATATAAATATTGAATGAACTATTTTTAAGATATAAAACTTTATAAATATGTTTTTTTTTAAATGTACCTTATCTATGATCAGTGTAAGTGAAAATGTGCGTTTTTCAAGTGTCATGGTGATCAATTTTCTGAAGGCGGCTTATATAGTAGGCGTCAAAGAGACCTAAGTATTAGTTTAGAGGGATTTGATTAATTGCTTACAGGATATCGATTAGAGAACCATTTGGAAACCTTTAATGGGCAATGAACAGTTGTTAGCGGGGGCTATAGTTGCAAATCGTGGCAATAGGGCATAGTAGGTTGGGTATGAGGACAAATACTCGCCCAAGATATTGCTAACTGGTCGCGCTATGTCATGAATTGGCAGAAGTTGGAGTTCAAAGACAGATTTTCGTATCGCCTTGTTACCAAATGTCTTGGGTTCAAACCTCTTGTGGTGAGTGAGTTCTTCTAAACACTCTCAAACTAAGGTGACGAAACAGCTGTCCAATACGTTCTGCAGGTTTTCCAATGGTTCTCTAACCGATGTTACCTCATAATGATATCCTGTAACCAGTCAAATATACCTCCAAATTCATCCTTATAGCTCACAAAATCGATCAATCAATCAATCATTCAATCAGCATTATGTTGAGTCCATTGAACAAAATATATATATCTAAGCATAAATCCATCACTTTTTACACCATTCTAGGGGAGGGGGAGAGGAATAACTGATTTTTGAACCGTTTCCACTCTCTATACGTCTATATCCCGTGAAATTATGATTTTTTTTATTACAGCTTGATTCCACACCGTATTTTTGGTACAAGTATGAAATTTTCAGCATTTGATATCGGTAGCTTAAATTTTGCAGGCCGACCGTAGATATCAGGTGTGCGTCGGCAGGAGATCGAACCTGAGACCATATGCATGGTCGGCGAGAATCCTAACCACTGTGCCACCGATATAGACCTTAACAACTTTGATATATTTGATCCAGTACAGACATTTTTATTGAATATCACGCTTTTTGGTGGCACCCACTGTTTGTAAAACGAATTTTAATTTTGAGAACTCTCTCTCTCTCTCTGAACCTTCAGTAATGTAAACTCGGCTACGCTGATTTCACTATAAAAGCAGAACGAGAATAAATGTTCTAATTCTTTGATGTTCAACCCTTAAGAAAGGATGAAAACCTCATTATGCAGGTGTATTCACAAAACGCCTACATGGAACGGATAGTGCATTGATTTCTGAAGTTCTTTTTCACTCCTCTACTGAAGGATACGAAAAATATCGACTGAAATAACTGTTGATGGACAGGCTGAGAAATCTTTGAAGATCTCTAACAGAAATTGGATTTCCATTAGATAAAAACCTGAAATAACTGTACAGCATAGGTAAGAACGTTATCTAAAAGAAACATTTTTCAGTAAGAGCACCAGGGAAACCTAAGAAATACAGGACATATGTTTCGTCCTAGTTCGGTACTCCTCAGCTATATGCACCAGTCACCACGTCAAGGATCGGACCCAGTAATTTCTCTCTCTCTCTCTCTCTATATATATATATATATATATATATATATATATATAGAGAGAGAGAGAGAGAGAGAGGGCAACGCCCAGTCAATTATTATTGTTTAGTCTTGTCCTGACACCCGAATTCATAGACTCCGCTGAAGACAATGTTCATGATCAAAGTTGAAATCAATCAAATTCCTACAAAAGAAACATTTGAAAATAGGGTTCTCTTCTCTGAAATTGACTTTCTTGAAAAACTACCTGCACTGTAATAAAGTATGTAGTTAGAGTGCGATTACGAAAACAAAGTTGAGTTCATTTCGGTTGATGGTGATTAACAGTGGAGTCCACAATAGTCATTTCTTCCTAATTGGAAGTTGTAAGGTCGATATTACCTGTATTCTACCCAACGACTGACAGTGTTGTCACTAAGAGTCAAACCCTGTACCCGTTATCTAAAACTATGAAGCGAATTTGACTATTAGAGCTGTCTGTGGAGAGAATGTAAATGCATCCAGTTGACGGGTCCTCAACGGGATGAATCGTACATCCTAGAGTCCACTTACTATCAGTCTGTACCAATCCAAATAACACTGCAATAATCCTTAGATGTCCTCGAAGCGTTCTCACTAGGAGCTAATATGTCAGGCGAGACCAAGCATGTCGGTTGTATATAATTAATTAGCGACTTGCCCTATTCAGGTGGACAGTAAGAGGTCGTGACCAGTAGGGTGCAGAAGGTCGGATGTGAGGATAAATACTCGCCGAAGACATTGGCTAGCGTTCGCGCTATGTCGTGAATTGGCAGAAGTTAGAATTCATACAACGGCCGTTTGATCGGGTCCCAGTGGCTTAATGGTCTACGAGCTAGCTCGCTGGGTTTGTAACCGGAAGGCCCTGGGTTCGAACCACAGTGGTGGGTGCGTACTGATGAAGAGTCCCAAACTAGGACGGAGGAAACAACTGTCCAGTACTCCCAGGTTTTTCATTGATTCTCTAACTAATTTCAGCTCATGATAAAATCCTGTAACCAATCAAATCCCTACAAACCAACACTTAATATTTGTAAGTCCGAGGTCAAATTATGATCACAATTCATACAATTCTGTTTATTATACATGTTGGTATCTGTTTCATGACTCATATGATTGGACAAAGTTTTTAAAAACAAGGATATTCTTTTTATATATATAAACCTCTGTTATGTTAGTTAATTTCGATTAATTTCTCTGAAGAAGTTAGGACCAGTTTGCCGAACGCAGGAAACGTTGGAATTACTCATTTCAATCTCGCTGACATTTTACAAATATCATATTTTTTTACAAATATCTATTTCTCACTCGGCGCCCACATATTTTAGAACTATTCTGTCAAATCTTGAGGACAGTTCATTTGAGGAGAAGAAAGCTTTTGGACGAATGTGAAGCCAGATAAAAATGAATTCAGATGACAGGACAAAACAGAGAGGTGCTGTTAAAGCTCCAATGTTCTACTTGGAAACCAAGGAAATAAAAGAACTAATCATATTTAATAAAATTTTTTAAAGATTTCCCCGCCGATTGATTGGAGCTAAGTACTCGGTCTCAGGTTGACATGTCTGTCGGCTTCTTGTGCAGATGCTTCAACGAAGTCTGGGTATTTAATCAGAATTTAATTGATGGATGGTGACTAGCAGTGGAACTCAGGATGCGCATCCAACTGACGAGTCCCATATAGGACGAAACAGCTGTCTAGTACTCCCAGGTTTTCCAATGGTTCTCTAACTAATGTCAGCTCATCATGAAATCCTGTAACCAACCAAATCCATACAAACCAACACTTAAATATTAAAAAGATTGCCTAGTAAACTTACCATCATCAACAGGTGAGTAACTACACTTGTATGTCCCGTCACCATTATTTTGTATTAAACATGCTGTTCTTTGTTTATTTGGACTAACAACTATAGCCTTGACAACACCTCTGCCTTGTGGATCTACAGCTTTAGCGTCAACTGTGAACTTGGCGAATGATTCTTTTAGAACACCTTTAAAAGTTAAAAAAACGGCATAAAAGATTTATTTTATTTATTTATTTATTCGAAGATGACTTTGGTGGGGGAAATTTCACACATTTTTTGTAGAGAAATATTTAAAACGCATGCCTTAAATGAAGGAATATCACTTGTCATGCAACAAACAGATAGAGAAAGCAAGAGAGGAAGGGAGAGACGAAGAAATCTGATGTGTAGAACACTAGTAGTGTGATCCACTTTCAGACTGGATCATGCTGAGATTTTCTCAAAGATCAAGCATACAATAAGCTAATGAAAGCAGCAAGTAGAGAAGTTATACGTTTGTCATGCTGATTTCGCCTACCAGTCGGTTGTAATCCTGGACCATAAGCATGAACACGAGAGATGTCAATATTTTCTCTTCCTGGCGGAGCAACTCTTACTGGGAATGGACTTCCTTTGATATGTGTATCTTTGTATAAAACATTGACAACATATGGTCCAGGTTCGACTGGAAGATAATCCACTCCACAGGTTCCATCACCATTATCATTGTAATTAATTTTAGCTTCTGCAGGTCCTTCAATAGTAACACTAAGTGGAGCTGGTGGGGCGTCTTGACTGTCAATTGTAAATTTAGCTGGTTTCCCGGCTGTCGCACGATATAATCCATCACCATAGGCACGTACTAAAGCTGCAGCTTCAGGCCCAGAAATCGGTGCTGTTGTGGCTTGTTGACGTGCAATATCTTTAGGATAAATAGGTTCGTGTAATGCAGCTGGTGGGACAGCATTTGTACGGAATGGGCTCCCCTTGACTGGTACACCGCCAACTTCTACAGCAACTGTATGCGGTCCAGCAACAGTTGGTGTAAATGAGGGTGTATATCCATCGACACTTTCAGCTAGTGTACAAGGTACACGCATACCATTAGGCGATTTAACTGTGACAGTTGGTTTTGGTTTACTGTTATTCGGTGGGCCTGCACCAGCTGTTATGACGTCGAATTCAGTTGGTACACCTACAGTGATGTCTGGTTTGTAGAAAAATACAATTTTCGATAGAATAATGAAGGGATTTTGGTTGGTAGTCAAAGAATTAATTACGTCAAAAATAAAAAAAATAACCTGAAAGAATATATTGCCCGAAATATCTAATTTAAAAGTATAACCTACCACTCGTCCCGATGACTTACGTGATTTATCATCAATATTTTGTGATGCAGCAGAAACGCGTATACTTGAAGTGATTTTTCTGATCAACGTATAAACGTTTTAATAGAGCTTTGGTTAGTTTAGTGATCTTAGTTTGAAGTTAAATGGAGAGAGAGAGAGATTGATAATTGAATTGGACAAATAGTCATCAGACTTTAGTTGACTATTTCGGTGCTTCATAGATCGTCAGACAAGATTCAGCTGCTTACACACCACAGTTTCACCTCACTTACAGAGTTTGCTTCCTGACTGTTATTTTGAAACCCTACTAGTCATTAAATCTTCAACAGCCTAACCTAGGACAAGTTGATCAGCAACTCAAAAAGTATTGATATTTGAGTGGAACCTAGGATTCGGGTTCTAAGTTTTGAGTTTCACAAGCAGTGGTAAGATTTTTGCGGGATGGAGTTGTTCGGCTCACGCTCCACACTACTACCCCCGCCCCTCTGATGCCTACTATTACCTGGTAAGTAGACTAGGAGAGGTTAAGGAGTGCTTCAGTGCCCAAAGCTTGAACCCCAATGACGTATGCGCTTGGTAAGCATTCTAGCACTGAACGACCGACGAACTTATAGATAATCAAAGGGATCACTACTTTATTGCGTAAAAATAGCCTGAAAAAAGTAGCGTTTTACTCAATTTTAGACTTTCCCGTTGATTAATTGAACTGAAGTGCTCAGTCTCAGGTTGATGTGTCTGTCGGCTTTTTGTACAGATGCACCGACGATGTCTGGGCATGTAATTAGAAGTTCATTGGTGGATGGTAACTAGCGGTGGTATTCAGGACAGTAAGCACTTCGTCCTACTTTGGATTCGTCGGCTGGATGCACCTGCATTCTTCAGTGAGTCAAGATAAATAATGCTTTGGCGTCTGAAACTATGGGAACTGGGTTCGAGCCTCTGTGGGAACATCATCACTCACTGGAAAATGTAGATACATCCAGATGAAAATTCCCAAATAGGACGAAATGTGCATCCTGAATTCCACTGCTAGTTGCCATACACGAATTAAATACTCTTCAAAGTTTATTTTCCGAGACTAGAAAACTAAATTATTGATAAAAATGTGATTAAAAATATGATTTCCTTGCAAATTTAACACAAAAGTTTAACACTGCTGGTAGACTATTTAAAACCACAGGGTACCGGTGTTAACAGATAGTGCACACCGAAGATATGTTGATACGCTCTGGGCAAATCTCACGATGAAGTTACGCACTTGCATGAACACGATATTTGACATGGAAGATTTGCTGACATGCCCCAGAGATAAACCATGTTGGGTATGCCAGATCAGCAACTGCCATATTGTTAACCATTGCTGTCCCAGGTAGACTCGCCCAAAATCGTGATAATCAAGGTTGGCCAAGGACGCACCCCTGAAATCTTCACATGAAGGCAAAAGAACCTTTCCTAGTACCACCAACTAGTCAAGATAAATAGTCAGATGCGTATGTTATGCGTGGATGCAGTGACAGTTAGCTTGTAGGTGGTGTACTTCTACATCTCCGTTTTGAGTAGTAAATACCCATTAAGGGATTCATAATTATTCTCCCGACTACTTTATACTGTTTAAAGTGCCGGTTGTTACATTCTTGTTATTACATCATAAAACATCTGTCTGACCTAACTCATGTATGTAAATGAAGCAAAAAAGTTGTGTGAATGAGTGACTTGATGTGATTTTGAGCAGCAGTAAATTGTGCTCAAAACGTCATCAGTTAATATTACTCTACCACACTGTGTGATTTATCAGAATAAAATCTTATCCATAATGGAGTTATACTCTACCAACAGAGTGCTCAAGTTTTACACTTATATTGAAACTCTTTTATAGTTGTAATGGGGGGGGTGTAGGGGGGCAACGTTTTGATTTTATCTATTTATCCTTGGAGGAGATGAGAGATTATAGGCAGTCGTAGACCCAGCTGAAGAGGACAGCACCAAATACAACACAGTAGAGGTGTATTGTGGAAGCCCTATGTTCCACACGGAACTCAAAGGAATAATAATAAGGGGCTACTGTACAGCTGTTCTGTCCTAGTCTGGTACTCTTCAGCAGCATACAGTCATCACCCTACCAAGGATCGAACCCATGACCTTCAGGATACATGGAGAGAACGTAATAGTCACTTCAGTCAGTGAGAAGAAGTCCAGTGGTTCATGATTTCTAACTTCTACCACTATTCTGCAGTGGAGTGATGATTGTGTACTACCAAAGAGTCCAAAACTATACCTATTCTTTACTTGGTTTACAATAATTCTCTAGCGACTGCCGTCTCGTAACGACGTCCAAATTAAAACAACTACTTGGGAAAATATAAAAATGACTGTGGAAAGAGTATTTACTATTCCTTGTAATAAAGCATATGTCTCAGTTTTATCTCCTTACTTAATTTCAGAAGCGATTGAAAAGGAGAATATAAAAGAATGATTTGACAGACACTACAGAAACAAGATTTTATTCTCCCCTCGTCAAGCCCCCCCCTCCCCCACCGACCCCCGTCAACCCCCACTTCACTTACTGTCAACATCTGTCAGAATCAAATAAATCATGCTCTGATTTGTTAATTTGCTGAAAGAAACACCGGAAACACCAGTGACAACTTATGACATTATTCAGTGTTAAAATACAGCGTTTATAGTTTAGCACTTCACGTGGGGAGAGTGTATAGCAGTGTGAACGCCTATCACAACAACATTATGACGCCTAATAAAATTGTCTATCAATCCTTATTTTCTTATCACTGCGTATGAGAAGAGAAACATACAGACAGGAAATGGGTAGGGAAGGATAAGATGAGAAGACTAAATTTTTACCATCTAAAACAATAAAGGAAGCAAACAGGCGACTGACTGTATCTTAGTTTTTGCCTATGGTATACTGTTTCAAGTCTTCAACTGTCTATTTTGTTTGTTTTTTGTACACACCACAGATAAGAAAGAAGGTCGTGTTTAAGTTTACATCATCTTATCACATTACTACAGTCTCCGTTGGCTTATTTCCCTTGCTTACTAGAATAATGTCATTTAAGTGGGAAAAAGAAAGGCTATTTTCTGGAATTTAGTTGTGTTGTTTTACTATTGTAGTTGAGGACAGAATTGATGACGTTATCATTGGTTGATATCGTTCTTTTCGCAGCCTCCGTCCCGGTTACATCCGACTTTCACCTTATAAACAAAGTGCTATTCATATTACCCGTCAATAGTAACTGTAGGATTTAATTTTGCAGAGGTTCAGAAAAGGTAAGTTGGTGGAGAAACGGGTTTTCTTCCTGAATTATTCAAAATTTTATTACGTTTTACTAAGACTTTCTAAAAAAAACTCAAACAACTAGTAAGTTTCACATTCATTTCTCAGTCAGAGAATGCACCTGAGCAACGTCGGCAAACCGTGGGCTAAATGGGTAGTTTGATGGGCAAAAGATGGTGTAAATGCTACATAATTTGTCCAATTTACCCATATTGACCACTTTTTCCCCGTTTTGCCATGTAATTTTCTAAAATAGCCCACTTAATCCCACTTCACCATGGTACGACTGAAAAAGCCCACCCTTTCCCACTTTGCCCGAATTTGAGCGGAAAAATGCCCACGTTTTTACCCACATATCCCAGGTCGAAAAAAGTTTTAACCGACTGGATTGTTAATTTCAATCTTTATGGGGAAAAAGGCAGAAAATGTGATGAAATTCTTATGAATATCTGGCATACATTACTAGGTGGTGGGGGAAACTTCCTGCTGATCACTTCCAAACATCTGTTATTAATTCATGAATAATTCCCATCCAGGTATTAATGAAAAGAAAACACGTAATTCAGCGAAGAGTCTCTTTTTGGCGAATTGATGTGGAAATAACAAGAACTGATGGAAACTTAGAAAAGCTACTTGGAGTGGTCAACTGTCAAGCTTCTGTAGTTGGGTAGTCAATCAGAGTTAAATTAATTCCCTTGCCACCCACATCTAATGTATCTGTAGTCCCAATGTTCTAGAAACAGAATTAGATCTTCTGAGAGAAATCTTCATCCAAAATCTATACGCAATAAGATTTGTTGACAAAAATTTCAAACCAATAATTTGGAGATTTAACAAGCTACATTCTCAAGAGAAGGGTCACATCATCTCTGAGAAGAACGTTCTTTGCAGCAACGCTAAGAATAGTGTTCTCCAGCTGCCATCTGATCTGCAGAAGCCTTAAGGTCAAAATCCCTCATCTTACCACTTATGTATGGATATGTCAGTTCACCTACTGCTGTGGAGCCAGGTACATCGGTTGTCCGATGAGCATCCTGTCCAAGAGAATTCAAGAATACTATCCAGCATGGTTACCAAAAAGCAATAATGGTGCAATAAGGAATGCCATAATTGCACACCTGGTTGACAGTGATCATTCCATCTCAACAAACTCCTCCTGCTTGAAAGTAATCTACAGAGTCAAGAATAACCTATCAAAGGCAATACGGTTTCGTCTACTTTGTATCACTGAAGCTCTGCTATTCATATTGGAAAACCGGAGCTGTGCATACAACAGAGGATTATTACTCAACTACTCCCACAATCATGGTGGCAACTTTGCTGATTTTTGATGACTTAATTTTGTTTGTTTGCCTGTTTCTTTAATTCCTTATAATTCTTCTTTTCATTTAGAACTCTTATGTAATTTAGTATTTCTACTTTGTTATATATGTGCATCCTGAGTACAGCTCACCACCTCTGTTGTTACCTTCGTTTCATAAACACCCAATTTTCTTGACCGTCTTTGTATTATGTAACTCTATCCAAAACTTTCTAATTTTCACCTGTTTAGTTAAAATAACCATAACCAATTCTATTTTTGTTCGACAAAATTAATGTACACATACATACAAAATAACACATATATTTGCGATTGTACAGTTAGGAAAATGAATTCGTCGTGGAAAAGAGACTCTTAGCTGAACTACGCGTTTTTTTTCATTAATGCCTGGATGAGGATTATTCATGAATTAAGAGGTAGTAAGGACCCCTCAGCAGTCAAGGAATTTAATGGGTTTCTGCGGCACTATGTCAAGCTTGCTGTGGGGGATGTGAGAGTTGGCTTTTTCGAGGATTGTGTCGCCAATTATCGGGCATTAATTCAAGATGTACACTCACACACACACACACACACACAAGGACCGCTAAATCACCTGATTTCGTGGCGAAATTTTAAAGTTGACTGGCAGAATCTAGTCACTATCAATATAAAGGATTAGACATGACTACATGTTTTGCATGGGTGGTTCATCGGTAGAACGCGGCTGAAAATAATCGGCATGTTGCTTAATCATTCAAAAGACATAAATGTATGAGTGAACTAGTATTTGGATATATTTATTCTAATTCATTTGAACAGCTTTGAAACATACCGTTTATTTTCAGTGTATAGTCATCTTCAAGCACTGGTAGACCCACTCCTAAACCACGCCTATTTCACTCACTAGCCGATAGTAAACTCATAAAAAAGAGGGAAGGTTGCGTGTGAGACTAGTAACCACACCCTGTAAGACAAAAACACCACCACCGCTACGGAAACTTCAAAAGCTTGAGGCCTTATACTCTTTGTTGGAACACAAAGGGATAAGAAAAGACCCACATGACATTGTTTGCTGACCACCCGCCCCAGTGACCAATTAATATAATCCTTACAGTAGTCCTGCATGAGATCACTCATCGGCCTAAATGGCTCAGTGGTCTCTGATTGTAGCTATGGAAGTGCATGAGGGGCATAACATCCTCTGTCATATTGACCAGTACAATCAAGCAGGAAAATCAGATCATAGGGCCTTCTGGAGATGGCTTCCTTCTTTAGCATCCCTAGTGGAACATGGGCTCCTGTCTTGACGCTTTGAATTTTCAACAGCTGTAGGGCTATTTTGCTTTTTTACAAGTTACGACTGATAGTCTCACGTTCAAACTTCTCTCTTTACCATGCTTAATATCGATCAGTAAACTGGGTGACGTTTAGGAGTTCATCAGTCAGCAATCGCAAACCAAACCATATGCATAGTTGGACAGCATCTTACTAGTGAGCCACAGACGTCCATCTAATATCGATATCTGATATCTACTCAGTGCTGGAATCATTCAAAATAATTAACAGAACAGACAAAGTATCTCAAGTTTTCTCAGGTTTCCTGAAGCTATAGCAATAAAACGACTGAAGCCTGATTTATGTGTCCAAAAAGAATCCGTTGTTGGACTTCAATTACCCTGGTGACTCACTTCTTAGTAAATCTTTGTCTTCTTATTTTGTTAACTTATCTTTTCACTCCCTCCCGCCCTCCTTTATTTTTCGCTTGACTCTCTTAAGAGATAATTTTTCTTGATCTTCTGAGTTCTGCTCAATGTATTACACTATCAACTCCTCATCTGACCTCATGTGCACCGAAATTTTCAAATTTTTGGTCTTCTCTTATCTAATTACGTATCTATTACTAATTGTCTTTTGCTACCACCCCAACAACACAACTGTTAATCAATTTTTTTTCAAGAAACTTCTCTGACAATATATATATATATATATATATATATATATAATGTATATAAGTCGTAACACTTTAGACACCCTGTAAATCAGACGCCTTATTTTACTATGACGCTCTGACAATATGCTTGCTAATGGACAAAACTTTGTTAAATTTGTACATTTTTATTTTTATTTTATTGAAAAAATTCAGGTTGTGCGCAGATGATGAGAACCAACGAAATAAAATGGATCCAAATTATTCTGTGCCAATATTTCTTCTTCCTTTGTTCAAATTTATAAAAAGCGAATCATTGCATAGAAAACGATATTGTTTTTAATGACGTTCTGCTCTTTATTTAAATTAAATTTTAGATTTTCCCGTCGTCTGATTGCACTGAAGTGCTCGATCTCCGGTTTACTTGTCTACTCTTCATGCAGATACATTGATGATGTCTGGCCTTATATAACTTGAAGTTAGTTGGTGAGTGGTGATTGGCGGTGGAATCTAGATCAATATGCATTTCGTCCTATTTGGGACTCATCAACCGATGTGCCTGCATTCCTCAGTCAGCGAGAGATGGTCTCCTCACTGAGTCTCGAATCCAGCACCCAGAATTTTAAATGCCAAAGCATTATCCACTAGACCACTTAGGCCACGAGCGCCACCTTTTGTGCAACAGGTTTTATGAGCTTTTTAATTCAATTTTAGATTTTCTGGTTGACAATTCCTAAATGGGATGAAATGTGCATTGTCCTGGATTCTACTGTTAGTTACCAAACACCAATTGACTTCAAGTTTTCATTCTGATACATGATGTATAACATCAGCCTTCAGTTTATACATTTTTCAGACAAATGAAACCAAACAAATAAACAAAACCACCTGATGACTTACTTGGTTCAAGGTTTTCAACATGAATTTTCGACATATCTATATTTGGTTTCACAGGCACCTTGAATGGACTACGTGGAACTTCTTGATTATTAAAGAAGACTTGTACAGTGTAATATGGTCCAGGTGTATTAGCTGTATAGGCTACTTTAAATGTTCCATCTCGCATATCTTGTGTATCCATAGCAACATCACGACCAGCTTCATCGGTTACACTAATGCCAACATTACCTACAAATTAAAAATGAAAATAAATAGCTTTGATAATTACATAATGAATATAAGAGTTGATTTTTAGGCACTGTATAGTAAAATATAACTTCACACCAGACAACTTTATTCGATGTAATACACAGTGTGTGATATAAATGGATAACGTTTAGAGACGAATTTATTCTGCATGTATTTACACAACTTGATAACTTAATTTGTGTAGTCGTATTGTGGCATGTACTACTGATAAGATTTATGAGTAGTATACGCAGAGATATCCATCAGCATGATAAAAATATCAAATAGCAGGGAGATAGATTCGATGTCAGAGAAAACAAATGATACAGCATTGAGAAAATACGTGGGAGACGTGAAAGGAACTCCAAGAAAGACACATAATATGAAGGCCAGAAGTAACACAACACGAAGATCTGTGCAAATAGTGCGTTGAAGATAAGGTGTACATAATTTGGCTATATAGAGGTAGCATTGTAAATTGATCTTGAAACTTCACTTCAAACAGGCTGCGTGGGCAGCCGCAAGCAGTTTTATCAGCTCTAATCCTCTGTTTATGTTTTATGTGCTTCAGTTAGTCAGACGGATTATTGGTAATTCGTTTCAAGTGACGCTGAATTCTGAAATAGCGTCTAGGAGACACCAACGAAGTAGTCTAAAAATACCTGCGTGGCTTAAATTAGCAGTCAAAGACTTCATGCATCGATGCCAAGTTTTGATTTGACCACAGCTAACTCTTCTCTGATTTTATCCTATGTCAGCTAACGTTGCTCGATGAGAAAGACGATTGTTTGGCCTACGTAACGCATGTGCTAAGTATGTCGATTGATTCAGCCGGATATATCATCTGCTTTCCTCGATGAACAGTTTTAGGTGAATTAAAATAATCTTGGAGAATTTCTAATTAGCGGGTTTCCGGATTTCAGTCATTACCAATTGTCCAGTCAAAGTATTCACTGCAGTCTTAAAGGAAGTCAGTCACAAACTTCTACAGCTCTGTGGTAACGTCCGTGAATGCAGCACTGAGTGATCTGTGTTTGAGTTTGAAAGGGGATGTAAGCTCCTTTGAAAATACAGATACGTCTTGCTGATGATGTTGTAATCATCAGTGATAAGTCTTCTTCTGCCACCTCAATCCTAAATCGAATGAATGAAGTTCAGAATAGCATATCACTCACATCTATAGAAGAGGAAGGTAATTGTTTATCTTTCCTAGACATATTGTTTAGCAGACGGCTGGATGGGTCAACAAAAAGATTTATTTATAGAAAACCTACTTGGACAGGACAGTATCTTAATTACCACAGTTTCTGCCTGCCATGTTCGGTACAAAACAGCCTTAGTAAGGTGCCTCTTCAGTAGAATCCAACGAATATGCACTGACGACACACTTGACGAAGAAGAAAGAAAGTTGACATAAACTTTGGTTGAGAACAATTATCCAGACAAGTTCATCAGGAGATATAAAGTAGTCAGAAAACCAAAACCCATTCTACAACTCGCCCCTAAGAAAGATGTGTACATCAAGCTATCCCATATGGGGCATCAAAGCAGCTGGACAGCTAGACAAAGACTGAACGCTGCTGTTAAAAAGACAAATTTTTATGCAGCTAGTATCATAATAATACAGAATGTAAAGCCAATATATCTATCTAAGCCCTTTGAACATGCGAAAAAGGGTGTCACATCCCCCTGTATTTACCAATTTGAATGTATGTGTGCACATACATACATAGGGAGGACTCATAGGTCTCTGCAAGTAAGGGCTAGCTTCACAGCATATTCCTAAATAGTTCCAGAAACAAATGGAATCTTCAGAACCCATTAATGGTGCAAACAGGAGACCTAGCTCTTCTGTTGCGAAACATGTTATAGAGACAAGACATAAAATTGAAGTTAACACATTTTTTAAACCTATCCGTAAAACGTGTTTGAGGTGTATCCTAAAGTTTGTGGAAGCCCCAGCTGGTAATTAAGAAGTTTAAGCCACCTTTATTTGTTCAAAGCAACAATTCGTTAACACATTAAACCACCTTCCTTGTTAAATTTTGTTTTGACACCAGTCAGGGTAGATGTACTATTGTGGTGAGAGCAGCCTGCTAGCCAATTGGTTGATATTAATCTACGTCAATATCTAGGTCACTAATATGGGCCGTGAGAAAATATGAACAAGGCTGATTCAACAACTAATCACAGCAAACTTAACGTGGGCAAATATGATTCGCAGATAGATGGCTCCACTTTCCGAGGAACTCGAAAACAACCAATCAGAAGACTGCGTTTGTCTACTTGACTAGGCTATAATAATGTATGTGAAATTTATATAAATACGTGTTGATTTCCGTAATAAAACGATCTGTTGCCTGGCCCTTGTCTTCTGTTGTTACACTATTATCTCTGTTATTTGGTTTAGTGATCTTCATTGTTATTTTCACATTGAATATGTCCCTTTAACTTGACCTTACTTGTCTATTTTCTCACCTCTTACCTCTTTATTAATTTCATGTATATTCCTATGACGAGTCCGTGTGTGATTATATTGTTCGAAATGTGTTGCGCAAATACATTACACGATTCATACAAATTACGTCTTCTTATCGGTTTATCTAGATTCATATTACAATGAAATTATTTTCAGTTCATTAGTTCTCAAAAGTTGGTTTGTAAGGATTAGATTTGTTTCCTACGAGTTGATCATGAATCGATATCAGTAAGAGAACCATTGAAAACCATCGACGACTGAACGGTTGCTTCATCCAAATATGGGACTCGTCAGTATTACTCACCCCCCGCCAGGTTCCGAACCCGGGACCTTCCGCTTACACGGCAAGCTCGCATAACATTCAGTCACTGAGGTCTGACTCAGTAGTCAGCCCATGAATTCTAACTTCTACCGATTCGTGATTTTAGTATGACCATCAACCAGTGTCATCGGTAGGAAATCCATCCCCGCACTTGACTGCATGGATCTCGTGACCACGACTCCTCACTAGAACTACAGGAAACTTCGTCCTGTAGCAAGTCACTAGACAGAATCAGATTAATTTTCAAGAGTTGGTTTGTAAGGTCGCGCTAAATCACGAACTGATAGAAGTTAGAATTCATGGGCTGGCTACTGAGTCAGGCCCCAGTGACTTAATAGTATGCGAGCTTGCCTTGTAAGCAAAAGGTCGTGGATTCGAACCCTGGCGGTGGGTGAGTACTACTGATGAGGCCCAAACTGGGATGAAATAACTATTCAGTCGTCGATGGTTATCAATGGTTCTCTAACTGATATCAATCCGTGGTATGTATATATATTATATTTATTAGAGTAGAGCCATAAATTAGGAACCGATTGTAAAGTAAATATTTCTTTGCTCTATCAGCTGATCTTCTAAATGTCTAAATGAGGATTTTCACTATATCAAAATGATGAATCCATCAACCAGCATTATTGTTACTCGTTTCTAGCGTCTCAAGTGGAATATTGGGCTTCGCAGAAGAGCATCTTCATTGTGATTGTTTCTCTGCTATCTGATTTTCAAGTGACTCTACTACTGCCCACAAGATTTCATTTGCTCTTCACACAACCTGTTCCATGGTGCCATCTTTGAATGTTCAACCTGTCGCCTCTTATTTGAGTTTCACACGACGGTTAACCTGTTGTGAGAGGACACTTGGGTCCTTTCCTTTGTGTATTATCCAGTCGATTTTCTCCTCTAGTTAAATGGTCGGTCACGCGACCAGAAAGGAAGGAAGGTTAGGCAAGGAGGTAGCTGCAACTCTCCTTAAGATACAATCCTATCACTATTTAGACTTAAAAGTACAGAAAAAATTCAAGGATTATTAATTTTGTTGTCTCCTTTAATTCCTAGAGGAACATACGGCTTCAGCCACAAATCTCCATTGCGTCCCCTTTTCTGCCAAAGTTTTCACCTGGCTCCATGTCTGTCCACATGCATTCATCTCATCTTCACATGACCTCCTCCATGCCAACCTCGCACTGACGACCAACTAATTCACCGCTTCCTATTCAGGTTCCACTCCAGCGATGACCTGGCATGTGAAGTCACTCACTTGATGGTTTGATTTCTCAGAGTAATGACAATCCACCTCCAATTCTTCTTGCATATTTGTTGCACAATCGATTCCTGCTAGGTTGGTTCGCTCACTGCCAGAGATCCCTGTTGCTGATCTTTTCTGACCGGCCATCTGATCTTGAGTATTGAGCGAAGACAGCTGTTGATGAAGGTGTGTAATTTGTTCAAAGTGCCCTTCGTGACGTGCAGTAGAATTCTCTGATCCGTATAGTCGCAGTGACTTGATACTGGAGTTGAATATCCGGATCTTAATTTCTATGCTGAGTGCTTCTGACCTCCACACAGACTTGCCATAGATGATAGGAAATAGACATTCTCTGCTCTATCTGAATAAATCCTGAAACAATAAATGTAACCCTTCCACCATTCACTTGAATCCCTATTGTTCAACTTTTCTGGAACTCCTTTAACGCCTCGTACGTGAATATAAATAACGCGTTAGCAAGCATAAAAGGTGCGTCGGTGGCACAGCGGTTAGAACGCTCGTCGACCATGCATATGGTCCGGAGTTCAATCCACGGCCGACGCACTCACTTACCTCGCTAAGCCAGAAATAATGCTGGTAAAGAGGAAAGGTTGGGTGGCCATGAGGCTAGCAACCCCATCCCGTAAAATTATACACTACTACAGAAACTTCAAGCCACTAGCTTGAAGCCCTATGTTCCACTGGGGAACGTGAAGGAAAAAAAGCATAAAAGAGTGTTGTCAAAGTAAAGACACTCGACAGATGTGAATGAACCAATAACTTACCATGTCCAGCTTGTTTACAATCAACAGTGAAATATGTTGGTTGACCTCGGGTAACACTTTCTACGCCGGGTCCGAAAACGCGTACTTTTCCTGGATTACTAGGTTCAGCGACTTCAACCTAATGAATGAAGTACAACAGAAGTAAAAAGTATTTAAGTCAATCTATGAATGAGTTATTTATGAATACACATATATTTTTATTTTTTTTTTAATATTTTTGATTATAGCTTGATTCCCCACACTATTTTTGGTACAAGTATGGGATTGTCAGCATGTGATATCGGTAGCCCAAATGTTTTCAGGCCGACCATTGATATCAGGTGTGCGTCAGCAGGGGATCGAACTTCGGACCGTGTGCATGGTCAGCGACAGTCCTAACCTTTGTGTCACCGACGCAGCAGGCTACGATCTTAAAGGTAGCGAGACTTATTTCGTTTGTATGAAACGGAAATCCGGTGGTTTCAAGGCAATTGCTACGGCTTCTACTAATTGGAGTATTGCGCACCTGATGGTATAAGATAGACAACTGAAAATGATCCTAAATACCCATTTTTGGTCTGTTTGAACTAGGCTTGTTAAAATCGAATTGTTTGGCCACACTGTAGGTGTTCCCGAACACAAAAAACTAGGTTTCTAAGCCAACAGCTCCACAGAAGGAGTCGTATGGACAGATGCTAGTAGAGGTGTCTATCCTAGGAATTATATCTTTCAGACGTGGGTATTCTTTAACTTGCTGATCACTACTTCACTGACTTTTTCACCAATGAATTCCGATTTCTTATACAGTAAATTCTTGTTCATAAATGCAACGTAGACCTTTTCGACTTTCTTAGCCATGTGCATTTTTAAGCAATTGTATATACCCTTTAGCTCATTCCTAATCAGAACTCCTGAACACTTTAATCACTTCACAATTTACAGATAAATGCTTTTACTAAATTCTTTTTCTACGGAAAAGAAACGAAGCTGTTGGAAATGTCTATAACATTCAATCCAGGTACTTTTCTTACAGAGAATACAGTCTGGATGTGGTTGTGTTCTCTGAGCTGGATAGTTAATTTGCGAAGCTTTCATTGCCCGCCTTACTAGACAACATCTTCAGCGCATACTTCAGTTTGAATTGAAGTGAGCTTTTAGATTTCCCTACGAGTTTATTAGTCATCTCACCTGATGGTAACCACCTTGAACGTGATTGGTTGTTTTCGCGTGTTTTCACACCCTCTAGGCTACTTGTATTTCTGTTCGAGCTGATTGTTTCTTTGACTTGAACTTTGACCCTTTGTGTGGTAAATTTTGTCTATCCCAATGTGTCTATTCATTTACGATTCACTGGAATACCAGGCTAGCTTCTTAAAATTCTCTGACATTCTTCGTGTTTCTTCTGTCTAATATTTGAACGTTGGTTGTCCCAGTAGAATTGATTTCCGTGGTTGGCTGAATGCCCTGAGGTGATATGAGGGAGTGGATGTCATGTCTTTTGACGGCTAGCTTATGTGCGTGGATACGAGGACGTGGATGTCCCCTTCGTCTTCGACCTGACATCTACTCGCTCATATCACTACATTCAGCCAACCACGGACATCAATCCGACTGGGACAACCAACGTTCAAATATTAAACAGAGGAAACACCAAGAATGCTAGAGAATGTTTATAAGCCTGCCTGGTATTCCAGTGAATCGTCAGTCAATAGAAACATCGAGATAGACAAAATTTATCAAAGGATAAGGAAGAAACCCCACATACAAAGGGTCAAAGTTCAAGTCAAAGAAACAATCAGTTCCAATACAAGTAACCTAAAAGGTGTGAAAACACACAACAACCAATCACGTCCAAGGTAACATGGAGAGATGAATAATAAACTCGTGGAGAAATCTGAAATCTCACTTCAATAAATTGAAGCATGCGCTGAAGATGTCGCCTAGCAGGGCGATGAAAGCTTCGCGAATTAACTATCCAGATCGGTAAACACAACCACATCGAAATCATCCACCTGAGCTACAAATCTTCTCTATCATATCTACAGAATACAGTTTATCTTTCTTTCTGATCTTGTGACGAGATGATGCAGAGATGTAGCTGCACCCTAGGATTCCAAATTCACACCCTTAAAGTTTATACCTAGATGTACCTGGTTGAAATCAGTGATAATCGTAGACTTAACGAAGTTGATTTCACAAAGAATAAATGCGCCATGCAGATATCAACAATAAGATGTGACTGAATAAGAATATCTATTTAACATGCTGTATGAAAAATATGAGCTCCAGCTTACTGACATTAAAACACCTAACATTTGTGGACTATTATTCCACGTGTTAAATGAACTCTGATTTACCGTCGGATATACAGAGGCTTCTTGTCTACAGACGCCTTTCTTTAATGTCAAGTGCTTCAGTGGCGCAGTGGTAGAATGCTCACCACCCTCGTCTCATGTGGTTTGATTCCCGGCCATTGACACACTCCTTTTCCTCGGTAAGCCAGTAATAAGACTGATAAAGAGGGAGGTTCAGGATAAGGCTATTAACGATATCCTGTAAAAATAGATTCCACTGCTACCGAAACTTAAAAAAAGGCTCTAGCTTGAAGTAGCCCCATGTTCCACTGGGGAACGTAAATGAATAAAAATAGAAGCATTTTATGAATTATTAAATTGACTGACTATAACTTACTCTGAAAGGACTTCTAGGTATATTAACTCCACCGTATGAAACAAGTACTGTATGCTTCTTGGGCACTTTTGGTGTATAACTACAAGTGTATGTACCATCCCCGTTGTCACGAACTTTTAATGCCACTGGTTCACCTTCATTATCTCTACATTCAACTGTCAATGGTGCAGGACCTCCAGCATCTCTTATATCAACAATAAATTCTGTTGGTTGTCCAGCGACATTACCTGTTGGCGCTATACCTGGTCCATGTGCTTTAACCTGCAAAAATTAAAATAAAATTAGAGAAAACATGCGACACAAACTATTCACATTTTGATTCGTATTAATATATGGTCACGAGCTGTGTTCAGTGACAGAATCGATGAATAAAACCAAGGAGTACTAGACAGGTGTTTTGTCATAGTTTTGGACTCTTCATCAGAAATCAAACCCAGAATCTTCAGTTTACAACAAGAGTTCTTTAGAATTGATGTACCATTAGATTCCATCTTGATGGCTAAATGGCCAGTTAGCTTGTTGTGTAACTGGAAGGTATTGCGTAGAATGCCTGGTGGTGTGGTGGCATGGGTTTGGATGGCTGAAGAGTCACAAACAAGGACGAAACAGCTCTTTATCACTCCTTGGTTTCTAATGATTTCTTAAGTTTTGTCAGTGTATGACGGAATCTGCATTGAAAAAGTGAATTATTACTTTGAACAAAAAGGACTATTGGTTATTATTGTTATTCCAGTCTGGTGAAACTTACTCTTTCTGGATCACATTTACCCATATCTGGTTCAATTGGTACCATGAAAGGAGATTTTGGTATATTTTCATCATTGCATAAAATATGCACAGCATATTCACCAGGAGCGGTTGGCCAATATGCAACAGTAGCTGATCCATCACCATTATCTGTACAATCAATTCTAGCTTCACTTGGACCTTCAATAGAAAAGCCTTTAAGAGAAGAAAGTCAAAAGGAAAAGAAGAAGAATTATATATTTACTACTGACGTAGTGACAGGATGTTCATCAACCGCATGGAAGGTATGAGATTCAACCTCTGCAAATGCAATCCTAAACCTAGACTACTTTGTTAACCAAGCCTGGGAAAGGTGGGAGGTTGGGAATGAGGCTAGCAACCCCATATCTGGTAAAGAACACTGGTAATACTAGAGCTTCAAAGCTTGAAGACCTTTTTTTCTAATCCAGATGAAAAGGAATGAAAAAAAACAACAACTGTGGTTGATCATACTTCGGTATCACAGTGTAACAGTAGTAAGCATTCACTGTGATAAAATTTTGACTACTGTTTATGATAATCCGAACGAAAACTTGACTAAAATATGATTACTTCATAAATGTCCTCAAATTTTCATTGAATGCCATGGTAGAAATGACAATTCGATTAGCTCTCAATGAGGTGTTTCTACAAATGTTCAACAGTAATTGCCTAATTCTGACCGCCGAACATACCCTATAGAAACTACTCTACAACAATGTCCATTTTTATAAAGAAAACGAAAGAGTATACGAATGAGTGCTGCCTCCCAATGTGTGTGTGTGTGATCACAAGTGCATAGGAGGGGGGGGCTTGTGGTCTCTGCAGGATAGGGTTACAAAACGCATCCCTGGTTTCCAATGATTCCTCTAAGTGATTTTGGTTTGTGACGAAATTCTAACCATTGAAATATTCATAAGTTAGAGGATTTCATCATGAACTGATATCAGCTGGAGAATCACTGGAAAACCTAAGAGTACTACCAGATGGCTGTTTCGCCAGTCTAGTTAGGGACTCCTTAGCAGTACGCATCCACCAGGGTTCGAACCCAGTACTTTCTCATCCCAGTGGCTTCACAGTCTGCGAGCTATCTCGTCTTGTAATCAGAATGTCCTTGATTCGAACACCCACGGTGGGTGTGTACTGGTGAAGAGGCCCTAACTAGGCTGGCGAAAAAGCCATCTGGCAGTACTCCCAGGTTTTCCAAGGGTTCTCTAACCGATGTCAACTTATGATTAAATCCTGTGACCACTCAAACAAAATCCCCACGAAACCAGTATTTGACCATTTTTTAAATGTTTGCAAGAATAAATGGTATCGATCAATTCAACTAACCCTGGAAATAGATGCCTGAGATCGTCTATCGTAAAGCACATCATGTAGAAAGTTCACTAATTCAACGATCATTCCACCGACGATCACCAACCTTCACATAATATGTGTGGCTCATTCTTATGCTTCCCAACTTTAGGAACATAAGGCTTCAAACTATAGAAATTTCAGTAGCACTAATCTTGCTCGTAAGGAGTGGGAGCTACTAGTTCCACTTCCAACCTTCCCTCTTCACTAGACGCACTACCGGCTAAACAAAGTTTAGAAGTGTGTCATCCGGAAATCGAAGCCGGACTCCTGGTGTAGTTGAAGAGTATTCTACAATTAATCCAGTGACGCTAAGTTGCATCTCATCGTGTGAATGGAATACAACTATACTCATCAATCAATTAATCCGTGGAATGTAACTTCATGACTCTACCCTTGAAAAAAAAACACTCGAATTTAAACCAGCCAACATTACAGCCGTGGAAATCCATCTAAGCTATGGTGTCGCATTAACACTTCACTCCCTGTTTCTAAACTAGGAGTCAGTGTAGTCCAGTCTTGTAACATCATCTTGCATTTGGCAGGAGCGAATCGTATGCCAAACATTCGTAGATTGCAGCTCAGGGTGTTCAGAAGACTCTGGATTTTGTTAGCGTCCTCGTCTAGAAGGACTATATCATCTGCATATTCTAAGTCAACGAGATTATTCCCTGGTGACAAGTCAATCGCTGAGTCTCTGAAGTGAGTTAGGGTTAAATCCATTAGTATATCTAGTAATATCTATGATGAAATTGAATAGAAATGGGGATAACGGGCATCCCTGAAGGACACCACTAGTCGTCACCACTTCAGATGACTACCCGCCGTAAGCTCTCACCTGGCTGGCTGCTTGAGTTCGAGTAGAGTGCCTTAATTAGTGCAATGTATTTTCTCGGCATTGATTAAGGCACTCTACTCGAACTCAAGCATCCAGGTGAGGGCTTACAGCGAGTTGTCATCTGAAGTGGGTTTATCCGGTCGTGAACGAGGATAAATGCTCACTCTAAAACTACGAATCGGAAGAAATTAGAATTCATGGACTGACCAATGAGTCAGGTCCCAATGTCTGAATGACCTACGAACTTGACTTGTACCTGAAGGGTTCTAGATTTGAACCCTGGTGGTAAGTACTGAACAGTTATATCCTCCTAGTTTAGGACTCATTCGCCGTAAGGGTTCGAACCCAGGACCTTTCGGGTACAAGTCAAGTTCATAGGTGAATCAGACATTGGGACTTGACTCAATGACTTAGCTGATGAATTCTAACCTCTACCAATCCGTGATTTTAGAGCAAGTATTTGTCTTCACTCCCAGACCGGATTTACCCCTCCCCCAACCTGGTCACGACTTCTCGCTAGAACTACAGGTAATTTTATCCTTTAGCCAGTCAGATTAGTTTTATTTATTTCTATTTATTTACTAGAATAAAGTTTTATTGCCTATCACAGCCTTTAATGAAGTTTATTTTTTCTGGAGGGAGGGGGTTTCCCCTAGAATATTGAAACAGTTTTATGTCAATCACATAAAATAATATTTATTTTATGGGAAGAAATAAGTACGCTGAAAGTAATTTTATAAGCGAACAACATCTACTTCATTAAACTTCATGTGTATCATTGTATGTTGGTTTCCGATAGTTATAAACTACTGAATATGTCGATAAGTAATAAATAAATGTACAGATAAATATTTGTGTGCATGTATGTATGTATGTATGTATGAGTGGAATTTCATTTCTAATGGACACATTTGATTGTCACTTTCACGCATACACTAACTAATAAGAACACACTAGCACATAGAGGGTTTCATATTATAAAATGGTGAAACATCTGCATCCTGACTACATGAACTTATTAATGATTACTCAAGTTGGACTTCGAAGTTACACCCTGTATTCTAACAGACTGCTGATATATATATATATATATATATATATATATATATATATATATATCATAGAATTGAGAATACTGCTGTTAATTTAAGCGTGAAACAGGAAACAGAACAGATGGAGAGGCACAGAAGCAGAAAGATAAAGAGGTCATACCTCCCACTGAAACTATTCAACGCCAGGAGACGAAGATTTATACATAAGTAGGAATATATTCGTTGATACTATTTCTTCTAGATAGGTGTTATTGTAATCGTTTGTTACATGTTTGAAATAAGGATTAGTTAGTTGACTGACAGCTTCAACGAAGCGTTTATTTCATCACTACACATTAGCTAGCCAATAAATATGACTATGTTTAAATTAAATATTGGCATCAATTTTTAAATAGGATGTCAATGAATAATCCCCATATTGAAATCAAAACAAGATTTTGAGCTAGTTATATAGGTCGTACCCAGAGGAATTTATCTTTACCTACTCGTGAACATATTCATGTTTGGCTGGGGATTAGAGCAACCAAATCATTAAATAGTGCAATTCTGTCTCATCTAGTGGGATAGCGAACACAGCATCAAAGTAGATGAGTCATATACAGTTGTGTATCGAGTACCGAACAATCTCTCCAAAGGCAAACGATTACGCCCCCTAGACATAGCTGAAGCTTTAGAGATTTATAGAGAGATACCAGATCTATGTGTTAATATATGTGTAAAACTTGGGCACTGTGGTAGTAAGTAATTCTATATTAGTTTGTTTATTAGATGTATCACACAGTGAGTGAAACAGTATTATTATTTACTGGATGACACAGTTTCGAACACAATTAATTATGGTTCATAATCATTTCATCAATTATAATCGAGGTACTTCGAAATTTGAGTTTTATAGTTTTCTTTGTCCTCTCCTATTTGTCGTCGTTGGAGTAGTCGAATCCCCAAGATATCTGGGACGGGTGTTGAATCGTTCCTATTACATGTATTTGAAGTTGATTCGATAAACAAAGCTTCTGTTATCAATCTCTCCCTCCACCCTGCTATTACATCAGATTTTACAGCTGTCATCCTATCCCATCCATCCTATTGTATGGTTGTATTGTGTGTAACTGCATGTAGTCAGTGGCATAGCTGAACTATTCTCTAGATTTCTTATCTTATTCGAGTCAATCAATCTAGATTTTGCTAGGAGTTTATGTTCTGCTAGTCTGACTGCCACATTCTACTAGTCTGACCTATGTATTTCACCTGGCAATCATCTCAGGCAGGGTAATAGATAAATTAAATTGTTTTGTTTAATTGGCTCCACAAGATTGATCCTTTAACTGATAAAGCTTGTTTCTAATTGAGTTTTTGGGTTTGAATGCCAGCCACTTTTATTCCTGCCTTGTTAAGAATTCTGCGTGAGGTGGTTTCTGGGGTTCCTTCCTTGTATGGAATTACTACTGGCGATTTAGATCCTTCATTGTTGCTGTCGTCATTAATATTATTATTATCATTATTATTATCACTATTATTATTATTATCATTATTATTGTTATCATCATTATTATTGTCACTATCGCTACTATCATTATTTACTTTACTTTTACATTTCCTTACACATTTCCTGACTAATTTATTCTGGTAATTATTAAGTTTCAAGGCTTCTTTTATGTGTATCACTTCCTGTCTTAGACTTTCCTTGGTACTACTTAGTTTTTATGCTCTGTCATTTAAACATTTCACGAATACTTTTTTTACTGACATAGGATGGGATGATCGGAAGTCCAAATATCTGTTTGAATGTGTGGGTTTTCTGTAAACACTAGTGTGCTTATCTTCCCATCTTCTTTCCTTTTTACGTTGCAATCTAGCATTGGAAGCTTCCCTTCCTGGCTTTCCAATTCATCATAAGTGAATTGAATTGCCTCTACCTTCGAGTTGATGTGTTCGAAAAATCTCTCTATATCTTGTGTTCTGAGTACAATGAATGTGTCATGTACATACCTCTACCATACTTTTGGGGTGGGGGTGAACGTTTCAATCGCTAACTCCTCCCACCTATCCATGAATATATCTGCTACAACCGGGGATATCGGTGATCCCATGGCAACTCCGTCAGTTTGTTTGTATATTTTCCTTTGGAGTTTAAATACTGTGAAAGTCAGGCATAGCTGCACTCCTAGCATTATGTCCTCAAGTGGCACTTTTGTCCTAAGTTCTAGTTCTTGGTCAGAAATTTGTACAGAGTAAACTTATTCACTCTCTTTTTCTACTCTGGCCCACCATAAGGTCACCAGGATCATAATTTTTCGTACTATTATTATCATTATTATTTTTTTTCGATTTACAGCTTGATTCCACACTGTATTTTTGGTACAAGTATGGAATTTTCAGCATGGATACCGGTAGCCCAAATTTTGCAGGCCGACCATAGATATCATGTGTGCGCCGGCGTGGGCTCGAACCCCGGACCATGTTCATGGTCGGCGAGAGTCCTAACCACTGTGCCACCGACGCACACTTTTTGTGATATCATGTCTTTATTATCCATTTCTCCACCCAGTTTATTTCAACTCATTGGTACCCTTACTTTTTGTCAACCTCTTGATTTTATACTAAGCCTACCAAATGTGTAACATCTTGTTACAATTTACAATTTAACCTCTTTATTTTATCATTAGACATTGTCGGTCAGACCTCACATTCAGTGTCCCCTTTGTTAATGTGTGTTTTTGTGTATTTTGTGGTTGTCGCATTTCTCTCACCCCAAGGACACTTGTATTCTGTTGACTATAAAACAGCACTGTATCACCCAATTGTTCATTCACACTTCATCACATTTTTTCTGACTATACACCCTAAACTCATTTGATCATGTTAACTAATGGACTATCATCTAAACTTGCACATGCACCCCTACACAGTTTCTGATATTATTTTCATTTGCCTTTATTAGCTATATGTACTATATTATTCATGGATTTATAACTGTAAAGCCTGAAGAAGAAAATAACTGTTCGCTCAAAATAGGTTGTAAACTACTTATATCGGAGTTAAGTAATACATATAGGGGGTGTAGAATTCCATAGTTATTTGTTTATTAGATATTGCATATTTCACACGCATAGTGAAACTGTATTGTTTGCAGCATGATGTTGTGAATACAATTCGCCGTTCATGATTATTGTTATCATTTGTTATTATATCAATAACTTTAAAACTTGATTTTTATAGTTTTCTTCCGCATTTGTTGTAAGAGGAGAAGAATTTTACACATATCTCAGTCATCTCAGTTGGTGCACCTTTATAAACTCATCTATTGACTTCCATTGCTTACCGTAATACTCTAAGACACCATGTAACACGAAGGACAGAAGGCAAACGTCTAGGTTCAAAGACTGCCAACCTCTTCATATCTGTCACTTTCAACGGCATTGTCGTCTCACAGTCGTAAAGGAATATGGAGTACACTCCTCTGTCTGTAGTATACATGCTCGCTTAATGGATACTTGGATATGACGTCCATGTCAGAGATTATACCAGTCATTAAATGGCACATTGACGAAACGGGCTTAAAATGGACCTTCACGAAGAAATTGGAGGATCTGGACTTCCCACAAACTGGAAGATATGCAAGTGAAAAGCAACAAGTTGGCGGTAGAGGAAGCATCAAAAATAGGACTCCAGGTGAACATACAGAAGACAGAGGTAGTAGATGAAGATTCCTGGCCAACACCAACAGCAACAAGAACAACAGACAAAAATCAGCATAAATGGGAGAAATCTGAAAAAAGCAACATCCTCTACCAACCTATCTGGGAAGCATCGTTTCAACTACAGGTCATCGGAACTGATGAGGATATCAAAGCAAGGATTGGGAAAGCAAGGCAAGCTATCATTACTGTCAGTTCTATCTGGAGGTCAGTAGCATTCATCATCAAAAAATAAGATCCGGATTTCCAACTCCAATGTGAAGTCGGTGCTACTATACGGATCAGAAACTTGGCGCGTCATAAAAAGCACCTCAAACAAACTACAGACCTTCATCAACAGTTGTCTTCGTTCAGTACTCATGATCAGATGGCTGGCCAGAAAAGATCAACAACGGAAACCTCTGGCAATGAACCAACCAACCACGAACCGATTGTACAACAAATAAGGAGGAAGAAATGGAGGTGGATTGGCCATACTCTGAGGAAAGAAACCATCAAGTGACAAGCGCTCGAGTGGACCCCGAAATGGACGCGGCGAGTTGGTCGTCCAAGGGTGACTTGGAGGAGATCATTTGAAGACGAGATGAAAGCATGTGGGCAGACTTGGAGCCAGGTGAAAACTTTAGCAGACAACCGAACGCAACAAAAACGTTTGGATGAAGCCCTATGTTCCTTCAGGAACTAAAGGAAATAATAATTATAATAATTGAATACCACAAGAGCCTTTTTGTATTGCAGAGGATATTTTTATTCGAACATTCAGTCTACTAGGGCTGAAACAGTTTTTCAATTAAGTAAAAAACAATCATCAACGTGTTCAACGAACAAAGTGAAATTTGCATGCGTTAAAAATTCTATGAGTTATGAATTTATTGACTGATTGATATAAACTTACCCAAAGCACCAGTTTCTCCATTTGTCTCAACGACAAAAACAGCTGGTTTATTGACAACACCACCGACAAGACCTGGTCCAAATGCACGAATACGTGATTCTTTGTAAGGCGCTACCTCTACCTATTATCATTATTATTAAAAAAAGTGTATCAGTTATAAAAAACATTAAAAGCTGCGCAATGTACAGCTTTAAAGGAAAGTCTACTATTTACAATAAAATAATATGGAATCTTAGTTGATAATATAGCAAATAAAAAAACAAAAGCGGTACCATCGTCCCTTTGAATGTCAGAGAACCATGCTGACAAGTTACAAGTGGGTTGTAAAACAATATTTTATTATCAGACGAAACTATCAACTACAGACTACAATTAATTTAATTGAAACTTGCTAAACACTGAATAGTGCGCATCGGTGGCACAGGGGTAGAATGCTCACCGACCAGGCCTCATGTGGTTCAGGGTTCGATTCCCGGCCACCGACACACTTGTTTACCTCGCTTAACCAGTAATAAGACTGGTAAAGAGGGAAGGTTGGGTATGAGACTGGCAATCCCATTCCGTAAAAATAAACACCACAACTGCCGCAACTTCAAGTCTCTAGCTTGAAGTGGCCCTATGTTCCACTGGGAACGTGAAGGAATAAGAAAAAATCCGTATTCCACTCGCTGATCTCGTATGTCCACTGGTAATCAGTATAAATTGTTGTTCCAAGACTGATCGACGACAGACTGACACGAAAGCATTTCAAATCCAAAATGTAACTGATTGATTAGCGTTCGATTGAAGTTTTATACTAATACTAGTGGGAGATGAAATCGACACACATACCCACACACACACACACACGCACACACATACATTCACAATATGATCCCAAAGCCCATATAACAGCATATAATATAAAACTATCGATCGGAAGTTATTCACAATTCACTATAGACTTACTGTGAACGGACTAAGCATAATATGATCACCCCCATAACGAACATTGACCTGATGTGTACCTGGTCGTTGTGGTGTATAACTGCAGTCGAATAGATAAGCGCCAGTTTTACGACTTGTGCATGGGATACCTCTACCATCTAAAGTTAAAAGTTGAAAAAAACAAATACAGTCATAAAATGTCCTCATTAAGAAGTGCTGACCATACATATATAACTTCGATTTAAACAGGTTTGGACTAGATTGAAGTGATTAAGATAAGTAGTGTTCATCATGGATGACCAATGCACCCATTTTTGTTTAATTCTATTGTAATAGTACTAATGGAATTGCATGGAGCATTTCATGATGAGCTAACATCAGTTAGAGAACCACTGGAAAACCTGGGAGTGCTGGACAGCTGTTTCCTCCGTTCGACTTTGGGAATTTTCAACAGTACGAACCCACCGGGGTTCGGACCCAGGACCTTCCGGTTACAAGGCGAGCTCGTGGACCATTAAGCCACTGAGACCCGATCCAATGGTCCTAGGTTCAAACCCCGGTGGGTGCGTACTGATGAAGAGTCCCAAACTAGAACGAAACAGCTGTCCAGTACCCCCTGCAGGTTTTCCAATAGTTCTCTAACTGATGTCAGCTCATGATGAAAGCCTCCATGCAATCAAACAAAAATCCCTACAAAAGCAATACTTGAAAACTAATGGAATTGGCAGTAACTGTGTTTATTAACTTAAAGATCGGCTTGTTACGGGGTGGGGGCAGTCTGTTAGACTTAGAGTTGAAGGATGGTATTGTTACCCTGGGGGAAGACACTGGCATAATGCGGTCTTGTCAACAACACCTACAGCAGGAATCTTGGAATGTTTGGCATGTGAATAAACCCTGTTAAAATATAAGATAATACCACATGACTAGTCTTAATCAACTCCAACATCAAGTAGGGAAGTGAAATGGGAATGCGTATTGACCACTTCATTTGTTTGAGAAGTTGCATCAGTCGCATAGGACGGATCGCTGACGACATCTCAATACGCATAAAGAAGGTTTGTTAGGGATTTTGCCAATTTATGTTATTGATGGCGTAGATGACTGGGCTAGACTGCCCCAGAACGTTGAAATCTAGCGAAAAATGTTTCAAATACACACGTCGTTGCAATTAACGAAGGTTTTTGACTTGAACATAGAAATGTAAGCGCCAGTGAAAATGCCTGCCTAGATGACATTTCGAATTCAAGGCGTTAACCGACCTATAATTGAATTGGGACACCAAATGGATATTCAAACAGCACTTACCAATATCAACAAACAAAGAAATCTGACTTCATGAAGGATTTCATCATGAGCTGACATCAGTTAGAGAACTATTGGAAAACCTGCAGGGGTACTGGACAGCTGTTTCGTCCTAGTTTGGGACTCTCCATCAGTACACGCTCATCACAGAAGGTTCAAACCCACGACCTTCTGATTACAAGCCCAGTGAGCTAGGTTGTAGACCATTAAGCCACTGGAGCCCGATCTAATGGTCCTTGAATTCTAACTTCTGCCAATTCATGCACGATAAAGCGCGACCATTTCGCAATGTCTTCTTTGATGAGTTACTGCCTCATCTTCAATCTGCTGTACCCTACATGTTACGGCTTCCCACTAGAACCCCAGGTTAACAGCCTGAATAGGGCCAGTCGCTAGTGAGCATACTGCTGAAGTGCGCACTGCCGAAGAATCCCAAACTGGGACGAAACAGCTGTCCAGTACTCCTAGGTTTTCCAGTTGTTCTCTAAGTGATGTCAGCTCATGATGAAATCCTCCATACAATCAAACAAAATCCCTACAAAACCAATACCTGAAAATCTGACTTTGATTTGTTGAAGCTTCTGTTGATTATATTCGATGTCGTAAGTGTATTCTACGTAAACGCGTAGCTGAAAACCACCAAGTTTGGTTAATGAAAGGTCAGCAAAGGACAACAAAGTCTTCATTCTGTAAAAACCTTCTGGAGTCAGGTTATTCAGCCCCCCACACGTGATTTATCCTTTAAAGTCATCTACGGGACTAAATCCAATCACTCCGAAAGCTTACGTTTTACTCCACTTATGCATAACCATCTTTATTGTTATCATCATTGTACTCTTAATTTTTTTAGACAATACCTGACCTACTATTTTTATAATCTAAACACCAGTTCACTTATTTAATAATCTTTAAAGGTTTTGTAATTCATCCACCTCAACTCGACCTCCTTGGTACATCATTTTAATTATCTTTATTGTTATTAACATATTATTATTATTGCTCCCTTGAGTTCCTAGTGGAACATAGGGCTTCAACTGCACGTCTCCACTTGCTTTTGTCTTCTGCTGTACTTTTCACCTGCATCCATGTTGCTCCATACTGACTGTTTCAACTCCTTTTCACAAGATCTCCTCCATGTCACCCTTGAACTGACGTCCCACTCGCCACTTGCTTCCATTTCGGCCTGGTTCCACTCGAGCAATGGGCTGATGCGCGCGCGATGCCACCCAGAGGCCTCACCTCAGCTAGTGTCCAATCCATCTCAGTCCACTTTCTCCTGCATATTTGTTGGTTGGCGATTGGTTCTTGTTTTGTTTGTTTGTGCCCATAGTTCCTTGTTGGTGATTCTTTCCGGCCGAGCCCGGTCATCTGATCTTCAGTATAGAGCCAGCGAAGACAGTTGTTGTTAATAAAGGTCTGGTTTTCAACAGGCTGTTGGAAATATTCTTTCTGACCCGCTGGTCAAGTTTCAGATCCGTAAAGGTAATATCATAGGTATATCAATTAATCAATTTCTAGTGCCACGTAATGTCTTTTGTGGTAACGTAAATACACGACTGTACAGTTGGCTTGAAAATGAAGTTGTTGAGAAGGAACAGTATTTCTTCGCTGAACAAAAAAAGAACTGTGTTTTTGCCTATTACACAGTCGACCATGGTAAAAAAAGGGTTGTGGCACAAACCTCTTTTGAACACACAGCTTTGGTATTATTTTGATGAATCAAAGGCCCCCAAGGAAAGCACAAAGAAAAACTCCCTACCGTATATAAAGGATATCTCAGAAATCACTGCAAGACTCTTCAAACACCTTTAGGAATTGACGTCGTACACAAACCAACAAAATCACTTCACTCAGCTGGTTGGCCGCCTCTGTGTCAACCAAAAGACTCAACAATGCAAGAAGATAAAACCAACATCATCTACTAAATAATTTGTAACAAGTGTGAAGAACACTACATTGATCAAAGTGGACGTCTCCTTCGTCTTCACATCAATCCCCTCATATCACCGCATACAGACAACCATGGACAACAATTCGACTGGGACAGCCAATGTTCAAATATTAGACAGAGGAAATACCAAGAATGGTAGGGAATTTTTAGAAACCTTTCTGGTATTCCAGTGAATCGTTAATCAATAGACACATCAAGATAGACAAAATTTACCAACCTATAAGAAGAGAACCTCAACCACACAAAGGGTCAAAGCTCAAGTCAAAGAAACAATCAGTTCCAATACAAGTAACCTAGAAGGTGGGAAAACACACAAAAACCATCAATCACGTTCAAAGCTACCATCAGGAGAGATGACTAATAAACTCGTGGAGAAATCCAAAAGCTCACTTCCTCGAATTGAAGTATTCGCTGAAGATGTCGCCTAGTAGAGCGATGAAAGCTTCGTTAATTAACTATCCAGCTCAGAGAATACAACCACATCAAAAAATAAATAAATATATATAAGTGTAAAGCCAATGATGAGGAACTCATTGCAATGGAATGCATATTTCTTTCTAAGAGATTACATTCACGTAGACACAGTGAACTTCATTTGTAGGATAAAGTGAACATCTCTTACCTCTTATCTTACCCTACCATCATTAATTTGTCGCCGACATATTCATCTTAGAAATAATGTGAAGCACATGAGATATGTGGAATATAACATTTTAGATAATAAAAAAACGCTGTAAAAAATAACACCATTTACACTAATAGACTAGTTAGAGCTCCTTTTTTGTTCATTTTTTGTTTTATATCATCAGAATATAAATTAGGCGCTATAATTTAATCGATAAATGGAAGTTTGAAAATAAACAAAAAATGTGCGATTGACTTTATCCCTTCACTATTGAACAATAATTAAAACACGTTGTTAGAATAGAATGGAGTAAAGTGTACGCCTAAAACAAAAGTCTTCACACACACACACACATGGAGACATATCGTCATACAATCTTTTCTGAATACCATTCATCTTTGGGGAAACGGTAAACACCGCTAGAAGAATGATTTGTTAATTAATCATGAAAATGAACCATTAAGACCCGAAGGAGGAGAAGACGAAGAAGAAAGAGAATTAAAAAATGGAAAATTAATAGTTATTAAAGGTACATAAAAACCTTGTAAATTTATTATTACTATTACTGTTTTTATAATATATTTTTTTTAATTAAATATAATTAATACACACAGTAAATTAAGAGGCACTTATTAATTTATTCCTTTTTTATGTGATTGCTTGGAGGATTTCATTATGAGCTGACATCAGTTAGAAAACTGGACAGCTGTTTTAGTCACCCTAGTTTGGGACTCTTCAGCAGTAGGCACCCACCACCGGGATTCGAACCTAGGACCTTTCGGCTGTAAAGCGAGCTGGCTCGTAGACCATTAAGCTACTGGAACCCGATTTGATGACTAATGAATTCTTTTTTTTCATAATCTAACTGTCACTTTTGAAGGAATCCTTTTTCTGGTGAAATGAAAGTTGTTTTGTAAGGCAGAATTAGGAGAACAGTAGAAACATGAATGTTGAGCGCTACTCAGCGATAAATGCTAATATAGAAGCAAGTTTATAGCTACCAAGTGACATGTTGAAAGGCTTACAAAATTTGATTTTCGTTTGCTCATGTCAGTTCACGATAGTCAGTGATGTAATTAACATGATTATATGTTGCCGCCTAACTTCAAATATATCGCATAGGTGTATTCTAATGTTCATCATTTCTAATTAAATTTCTCCAGTTGATTGTAATTAGAGCTTATGGCAACAGTAAAGAATAGACACTAACTTCAGACGACCGTGAAACAACCAATTAGATTCTTCTAGGTGGAAAGGAGTACTTAGTGTAACTACGATATATATGTAACAAAAATGAATCATATAGGGTAATTCAGTCTAATGCTAAAGACAAGATACCGCTTTTGACCACTTCAATGTGTATTTATCAATTTACTTGCTCGTGTGGAGCAAAGTATATCGACCGTACGTCTCGTATGTCAAGTTCATAAACATATTTTGGAATACTGCAAAGCTTGGTTAACCAGCCAAACGAGAAAAGAAGAATAGCAACAGCCCGATCCTCGAACACCTTGTCACCTCCGAACATCAAGCACCCCCGCCTGCATGAATGCTTCACAGTGATGCACAGAGTCTCTCAATGTCGTACAAAGGGAGTTCGGATACGCCATCTGTACATACATAGCTGAAACACTAGCTACTCGAGATCTGAAACCGGACCTCTGCATTCAAAAGCGATACATACATTCTCTCGCCCTACCATGGCCAGAGTAAAGTTCTTACTATAATTTTGTTTCTTCCTTTTATTATGTTAGTTCACTTTTATTATCATTGTGATTGTTATTAATACTTTTTATTATCATTATTATTCACATCATCCATATTTCATTATCGCCCTATTACTGTTTATTAATAACATTGCTTTTTCATACAGATTTTATGTAAAAACACTTTATCGCCTTTCTACTAGTTCCTGTCCATTCTACACGAGCTTAGTGACTATTCATTATCTCACACTTACTACGTCATGCCAACTTCTTTCATCCCTTCTTACACCTTAAATTATGTAATACAATTTTTCAAGGAAAAAATTTACCACTGTCTGATTCGTCTAAAGGTATCTTTGTTAAATATAACTACGATTGTACAACAACTCATGAAAATCAATCGTCGAAAAGAAAACTTTCTTCACTGTTTGTGCCTTTTTCTTATTCTCTATTTTTCCGGCTGTAGCAGATACTGGTTTCATATACGCAATATAATACTACTGGAGAGCTTTGATTTCGAGATGTGTCTAAAAAATATCACCGATTATGTACGACTTACCAACTTATACAGGCCTCCTCATATAAAGTGGTTGCATCTGAATGTATAACCATCAATAGCCCGGCACAATATGCATTTTTTTTACCTTCCTATGAACACATTTTCCACAGGGAATTTGAAAAACCAAATCTAGGAGACATTTTCAACGGGAATTATGACCATTTGTAATTCTGAGCTATCTGATTGGTCACATCAAAGTCATTTGACTTTGGTGTCTATTGTTTACTCTTGCCATGCTTGCTGATTGATAGTCCGTTGTATATCTGAGGCTGAATATCGTAGTAGTAACATTTGTGACTGATTATTATTATTATTTCCTTTAATTCCTAGAGGAACACAGGGCTTCAGCTGTAAGTCTCCAATGCGTTCGGTTCTCAGCTGAAGTTTTCACCTGCCTGCAGTTCTGCCCACATGCTTTCATCTCCTCTTCACATGACCTCCTCTGTATCACCCTTGCACTGGCGACCAACTCTTTACTTCCCATTCCGGTTCCACTCGAGGGCTTGTCTAGTGATGTCACTTGATGGTTTCCTCAGAGTATGGCCAATCCCATTCACCTCTATTTCTTCCATCTTATTTGTTGCACAATTGGTTCCTGGTGAGTTGGTTTGCTCAATGCCAGAGATCCCTGTTGTTGACCTCTCCTGAATGGTTACCTGATCTTGAGTGGTATTAAGCGAAGACAGCTGTTGATGAGGGTCTGTAGTTTTTCAGAGGTGCTCTTTATGACGCGCAGTGCAAGCCTCTGATCCGTGCAGTAAGTAGCACTGACTTCACATTGGAGTTGAAAATCCGGATCTTATTTTTCATGCTGACTGCTATTGACCTCCACAAAGACTTGAGAGTAATGAAAGCTTGTCTTGCTTTCCCGATTCTCGCTGCTTTGATATTCTCATCATTTGACTACACCTGTAGTTGAAGCGATGCTTCCCAGGTGGGTTGATAGAGGATGTTTCTTCTTTCAGGTTTCTCCCATTTATCCTGATTGTTGTCTGTTGCTGTTGCTGTTAGTGTTGTGACTGGTGAACTAAAGGATTTACTCTCCAACACCCCTGAAGCGAATATCAATCAGCAATTGCCTCTTATCATTCAATACTTGACTTTAAGCACTATTCCTGGGGTTTAAGTCAACTCCACTAATAACATAAACAACATCTTGAAAAAATAGATTTTTCAGCTGTATAATGTGATTGGTCAATTCAAGGTTATTTAGCGGGTCATTCACACAGATCAATTATTTTCAAACTCCAAGGTGAAAAGCGTGTATGAAATTAATGCTCATTTTATTTGTTCCTTTGCGTACCAAATGAAAAATAAGGATTCAATATTATACTCCTTGAGATTTCATCAGCAGAAGTGTTGTTTTTACACAATGGCTTGGCTAGGCCTCATGCTCAACTTTCACTCTTTACCAGGCTTACAACTATTAAGGTGAGACTTAGGATCGCTTCGGTAGCTCGGAATCGAACCCTGGACCAAATTCTTATTTGACTGGTATTATATCTCTGAACCTGCTACACATATCGCGAATTGGTAGAAGTTGGAATTCCTTACCCTAACTTTGGAAACCTCCTCAGTGAATGAATAGTCACCAAGCTCGCCATACAGCCTCAAGGTATTCGGTTCAGTCTTTCGTGGGATCATAGGTGTGTACTGCTGAAAAGTCCCAAAGAAGGACAAAACCTCCTTTCTAATACTGACTTGTGGTTTTCAATGATCGCTTAACAGAAGTCATTTTGTGAGAAAACGTGAAATAAACATAAATAAATATAGGCGAAAAAAAATGAAAAAGGAAGCTGACAGATAGTTTAATTTACCTGGTGCAATGACAGACACCTCCAATGGACCTTCTCCAGCATCTTCTGTATGCACTTTGAAGTCGGCCAAATCTTTAACTCGTATACCCTGAGGTTGAATTCCACGACCTGTTGCATAGGCTTGTTTAGGATCACAAGCTGAAAATAGGTGAGAGGGGAAAAAAGGAAATCAGAAAGTGGTGAAGAGATATAATTTTAACGTGGTGAGTTTTAATAAACAATCTCTGAAACAAATTTCGCCCTCCCACCCCTTCATTTTATTTCATTTCTCACTCCTATATATGGGATAAAAAAGGTGGCGATAAGTTAGTTACAATTTGAGATGTGTTGTGTCAGATATTACGTTTGACTGTTTTAAAGGTATTCTGAAAAGGGTCATACATACTATTTGGCCTTCATTCGTGTTGTTTCCATTCAATACAGAGTGACCTTCAACAAAAAAACAACCAATCAGAAGAGGTTGCTTCTCCGCTGACAATAATGTGCATAAAAATCTATGAATACCTCTCACTTTTCTCAATAAAGAAGCTTTTGCGTGACCTTTGTATTCTGTTGTTACAGTAGTACTGACTTACTTATTATCAGTATTATTGGCATTACTAAATTTTGCGTTTCTTATAGGTCTCCATACATTTCTCTGAATAAAATATGGCGAGTAGTTATTCACTAGCCATGTTTTCGTTATTTGCTTACTAGTCAACCTGTTGACCGAGTCGTCTAAGCATTTGACTTTGCATGGGATGAATTCACGTCTAAGAATTTATTAGAAAAGTGTCAAATTCCACTAGCTGCTAGTGATATAAAGCAAGGAAATAAAGACGTGCGATAAGCACATAAATATTAGATTTCTGAGAGCAGCAGCTTATCCTCAGAAAATCATCACCATGTGTGCATGAAAAAAGCTATGAAGAACAATAGAGAAGATTCGTAGCTCAGGTAGATGATCTGTAATTATTAGTGTTCTCTAGGCTGGTTGGTTCAGTTGCACAGCTTTCGTCGTCTCCCCACTGCTGGACAACATCCCTTTTCAGCGCAGTATTTAGCATAAAATGAAATGATTTAAATTTTTCATGAGTGATAGAATTGCGTCTCCCGGTAACCATCTTTACATATGTGTATTGATCATTTTCTATTGACTTGGATTTTAAACTTTCTGGTCAGGCATTACAAGCATTACATCGGCTAGATGGAAGGGCGTCCAGTTCGAATCAGAAATCAGGAGCACAAATCAGCCGTGAAAAAGACACGATATATATTCCCGTTTCATATCAATGCATATAGACAATTATGGACATCAATTTGATTGGGATAATGTCGAAATTTTAAACAGACAGGAAACACCAAAAGTGCAGTCAGGGAATTCCTAGAAGCCTGGAACTCAAACGAATATGCAATTAACAAACACTTTAATATAGACCAAATATACCACCAACTAATAAAAAGTAAATCATGTGACCAGAAAGTTTAAAATCCAAGTCAACAGAAAATGGTCAATACATATGTCATGAAGATGGTTACCGGGAGACGCAATTCTATCACTCATGAAGAAATTTAAATCATTTCATTTTATGCTAAATATTGCGCTGAAAGGGGATGTTGTCCAGCAGTGGGGAGACGACGAAAGCTGTGCAACTAAACCAACCAGTTCAGAGAACACTATTAATTGCAAATATGAAGAACAAGTTGTCAATGTTCCAGAACACACTTTTAACTTCTCGAAATAATCCGGTTCTCCATGGAAGAGTTTTATTCCTATTCTCATTCCTCCCATTTTCTATTCTCATTTTTTTCTTCGGCTTCAGACAGCATTAAATACCACACCCTTTAAACACATGTCAAATATGTTTTGCCAATAAAATGGAAAACTCTTTTAACAGCATAAACTACACACCAGTTAGCAGCGTTACCACAATTTACACACTTCAATTATTCAAGTGTTTCAGAGAAGAGAAGACAAAGTAAAGAAAATATTCCCAAATGATTAAGAATTGACAGAATAACAAATAATCATGTTCAGCAAATGAATTAATAAATCAATAAATACAAAAAATTAAATTGCAATTAGCATCGCAGATAAAAATTCTTACAGCAAAGTCGACCAATGAACAATTTTCATGTATTGGTTTTGTTGTAGGGATTATGTTTTAATTGACTGGAGGATTTCATCCAGAGCTGACATCAATTAGAGAACCATTAGAAAACATGCAGGGAGTACTGCCAGACAGCTGAACTGATGTCAGCTCATGATGAAATCCTCCATGCAATCAAACAAAATCCCTGCATAACCAATGCTTGAAAATTAGTCTGATGCTCACTAGCGACTGGCCCTATTCAGGCAGTTAACCTGGGATTCTAGTGGGAAGCCGTGACAAGTAGGGTGCAGCAGATTGCAGGTGAGGTAGTGACTCATCGAAGAAAACATTGAGATGTGTTCGCGCTATGTTTTAGATTGGCAGAAGCTAGAATTCATGGACTGACTGGCCATTGGATCGGGTTCCAGTAGCTAATGGTCTATGACCTACCTCGCTGCGCTTGTAACCAGAATGTCCTGCGTTCGAACCCCTTGTGGCAGGTGCGTACTGCCGAAGAGTCCGAAACTAGGATGAAGGAAACAGCTGTCTGGTAATACTCCGAGTTGATTTTCGAATGGTTCTCTAAATGATGTCAGCTCATGTTGAAATCGTCCAACGAATGAACAATTGTCACAAACCAATCAGACACTAAAAATGTTTGCCTGTTACTGTCTTTAATAGAAATTAGAAGATACACAAAGGAATGCAGTTTTTCGAAACGTGGTGATAACATTAGAGAAATATTAACACAGTGCCTGAAGTCGTCCACAGAGTAAGACGTAGTCTTCCTAAAGGTGTACGAATCAGTCTTCTTCAAACTGCAGAAGCAATGGTGATTCACTTGTTAAGTCCTGAACTCTGCATACAGAAGAAGTTCGTTCAATCATTACACTTGCAATGGACTTAATCTATCTTATTGCCCGACAAGCAAATTCTACCCACCTTTTTCTTGTGTTTCTGTCTCTTCATTAGAATTATTTTGTCTTCTCAATTGTAATATTTTACATTTTCAACTTTCCTGTTCTCTACCCCCACCTCAACTTAGTCCCTACCTGTAATTACCTCTGTTGCTACCCTGACCTAAGTTGAAACATTTTAGTCAATTAAATTACGTCATCTAACTTACTAACTAACTCAATCTTACTTTAGTTGCTGTCTAATTAACCTTGTTTCTATATTACATCATTCTTGTATTGCCTGATTAAATATCTAAACATGACAAACCACATGTACACACATGCACAAATAATTAAATATAAATGCGATTGTACGGCGTTATTTGAATGAATTCGCCGTCGAAAAGAGTCTCTTAGCTGAACATCTTCTCTTTTTCAAAAACATTAGTCAGAAAAGATCAGCAACAAGAATTTCTGACAGTGAAATGAACAAAAACTTATTGTCCGAAAAATAGTCAGAAGCAGCAGGGGGCAACATAGCCAACATATGCTGACAGGGTGTTCAAATAACATCACATTTCAATGGAACTCAAAAGGGGACTGACGAGTTGATTGTCCAGTGACATCAAAGGGAAGATTACATAAAAAGTGATGAAGGCTTTCAGACAACCACCGGAATGTGATGGCAGTGTACCAAGTGCAATAGAGATGTGTCACTGAGGCATATAAATAACGAATAATAAAAATAAATTTTTAAAAAATTAGTATAGAGTACTAAGAAAATTCTGACCTGGTCGCTTCGGTAGAGACATTTTTCTCTGTGCTTGTGATGCTTGTACAGGAGCTGAAAGTAAAATGTGTTGTTATACACAACTTCTCTTAAATAAATAACACTGGGATAATGAATAATCCGGTGAACTTAAGCTTTACAGATCACATTCATGCTTTTTAACCAGTGTGATATGGTTGGATGAATGAGTCAGCTAGAAGCGGGGAATACAGTAGAAGCGAAAACAGCCTTTCTCCAACATGCTATATATGTCATCTGATATCAGTGTGCCGCGAAACATGCGTAGACAGATGAAAATGATATTATATTATAAATACTCTACTATTTCAAACAATTAGTTTCCTTTATGAACTTCAATAAATCAATAAGAAGATGTAATTTGTCTGAATCCTATGTGTAATGTATTTGAGCAACACATTTCGAACAATCTGATCCACAACACACGGACTTGTCATAGGAATATATTTATGAAGTTAATAAAGAGTTGAGAGGTGAGAAAATTGACTACTTACGTCAAATTGAATGTGAAAATAACAATGAAGATCACTAAACCAAATAGCAGAGGTAATAGTACATCTACCCTGACTGGTATCAAAACCAAGTTTAACAAGGAAGGTGATTTGGTGTGTTGATGAGTTGTTTTTGAACGCATAAAGGTGGTTTAAACTTCCTAATTACCAGCTAGGGCTTCCACAAACTTTAGGATACGCCTCAAACACGTTTTATAGATAAGTTAAAAAGATCTGTTAACTACAATTTTTTTGCCCTGTCTCTATAATAAGTTTTGCAATAGAAGAGCTAGGTCTCCTGTTCTCACCGTTAATGAGTTTTGAAGATTCCATTTGTTTCTGGAGCTATTTAGCTTCTTGATATAAGAATAAAACTTGTGCACTGTCGTAGAGTGTAATTCCATTATGGGTAAATTTTGTTTTGATAAAGTCTCATAGTGTTATACATCAATGTTTACTGATGACGTTTCGAGCACAATTTATTGCTTATAATCATATCAAGGTAATCACACGACTTTCTAAATTCATTTTGTTTAGGATTTGTTTGTGGAAGTTTGTGGAAGCCCTAGCAATTAGCAAGTTTAAGCCACCTTTGTGCGTTCAAAGCAGCAATTCGTCATCACATTAAACCACCTTCGTTGATAAATTTTCTTTTGATACCAGTCAGGAGATGTACTATTACCTCTGTTATTTGGTTTAGTGATCTCCATTGTCATTCTGACCTTCTATACATCCTTTTAACTTGACCTAACTTGTCTATTTTCTTACCTATCAACTCTATTAATTTCATAAATATATTCCTATGACATGTCCGTGTGTTGTGGATCAGATTGTTCGAAATGTGTTGCACAAATATGCATATTACACGATTCAGACAAATTACGTCTTCTTATTACTCGACTATTCTTTTATGAACTCAAAAGTAAATCAAAGTATCAACATCAAGGCCATTTTTGTTGCTTTATCATGTCATTTTCTCCATTCTCACTCGGAGTGTGTGTGTGTGTGAATCGCTGAAAGAGTGAAGACAACCTTGATGTTGGCAATGCTGTTGAAGCCATGCCCAAAGTTACTCTATCACAGCTGCACATTTAAAAATTATCAAATTCCAAATTTTTATTTCCCTTTATAAATACAAACAAGGTGAATGAATAAGATTTATTCATGTCCATGACATGCATATAATCACAATTGGAATTCAATAAAAATTGGATAACTTATAAAAAATTATCTGAAAGCTTTTATATTAAATGCAGCCAAAAGAATGTAATTTAGGTAGGCATTCATCACAGGGGAGACTTCATGAAAATATCAGTGTTTTTTTAATTAAAGGTTAAAGTGTGCACAAATAATCATTGAGCATTCTATTTGTATCACTGCTTCCTGCTGGCTTGAACCTCTCGTCATCAGTTCTCGCCCATGACCCTCCTCCGCTCCCCCTTGACGGAGGATCTAACCAAGAACACTCAAGTTATGAAGTGACTATTTAGTCATTGTTAATTCTAACGATACAGAGCAACCACCGAACAATTCCATTGTTGGGCATTTGCTTCACACGCAACAACATCGTGGACCACATGATCTATGACTTCTAATTACAAGCCCAGGATATCACCGATTGTGTAGCTATTAATGATCTATAGTTTGGTTTCTAAGGGTTAGTTGTGTTTTTATGAGTTGATCACGGATTGATATCCGTTAGAGAAGCACTGAAAACCAGCAAGCAGTACTGCCAGACAGCTGTTTTAGCCGCTAGTTTGTGAATCATCGGCAGTACGCATCCACCACCAGGGTTCGGACCCAGAACCTTCTAGTTACAAGGCAAGCGGACTTGTATAACATTCACCCACTGGGACCCAACTCCTCAGTGGCTCATGAATTAATTCTAACTGCCGGTGTTTCCCAAACTAGGATGAAACAGCTATCTGGCAGTACTCCGTGGTCAACTCATAAAAACATAACTAATCCTTACAAACCAAACTACAGAAAATTAATATGACGCTCGCTAGTGACTTGCTACAGGATGCAGTTTCCTGGAGTCAGTTCTAGTGCGAAGTCATGAGCAGTGAGGTCCATCCAGATGTCACGTGTGTCAGGATGGATGTCCCTTCAACGACAATGGTTCGTGTCGTGCTAAATCACGAATTGGTAGAAGTTAGAATTCATGCGCTGGCCTTTGAGGAGTCGGGCCCGGTGGGAGAATGGTATACGAGTCAGCTTTCCTTGTAACCGAAAGGTCCTAGGTTCGAACTCTAGTGAGGTGGGGGCGCATACTGCCAATGATTCCCAAACTAGGATGAAACAGCTGTCTGGTGGTACTCTCTGGTTTTCAATGGTTCTCTAACTGATATCAATCCGTGATCAACTCATAAAAAGCTATTAATGAGTTAGACAGATACCACATCAACAGACAACATCAGTCAGAAAATGACTGAAAGAAACTAATAACCTGAGGATCCGGGATCGACTCTGTTAGGATCTTTAGCATACACTCTTGACGAGTCCAGGAACAGTGTCTCTTAGTTTTCAGGGATTCCTTTCATTAACTTGTGTCAGTTCCTAACAAAACTACGTTGCAATCCAATGAAATTTGTGCTATTTCGTGTGGTATAGAGTAATTAATCTTTTATATCAGTTGCGTGACTTACTTTGATGAGTATTCATAATTCAAGTAATCGATTTAAAAAAAATGAAGGATGTTATTGTATTGTTTTATAAAATTTTACGTTATGTCTACAGTTTTATTGATAATCACGTCTGCACTTCAATTACCACCTAGATGACATAAGACTACTCGACCAAGTAGGTTTTTGGAATCTGTCTGTATTTTACTAGAAAATTGACATTAATAACTGACTCTAACTGACATTTTTTCTCTGACATTTTAAAAACACTATGTTCAGGTTTACAAAAGGTATTTGATTGATTTCACGTTTGGTCATGAACGGACTATAGTCAGAAGACCACTGAAAACCACCAGAGAGCACTGAATAACTGTCTCTTGATCAGTACGTACCCATGACCCCACCACTAGAGGTCAAACCAAGTAATTCCCCCCCCTTACCTCCAACCATACAGTGAATGGTTCATCACTTCTGACTCCTGGCAATTCGCAATATTTGGTGCAATCGTTAGCCAGTGTCACCGGTGAGTATGTGTCCTTAGAACCAACTTGGTGGGCCAGCTAATTAACGATTACTTCAGGCAACAGTGTCCAGTAGTTAGTCACTAGTGAGCACTATATAAATTTTCAAGTGTTAGTGTGCAAGGAGCAGACCAGTGGGTCTTTGAACATCATCCAAGGGGTTGAATGGTCAGCAAGTTTACCTTGTTATCTCAAGGTCTTGTGTACTATCCAACTGATGAAGTCATGAGTGCGTGCCGCTAGAGAGTTCCAGACACGTAGACGTGGTATCCGGATATCGACCAAAGGGCGTTTGTACTGCCAGCAGTCCGCTTCATCCTCCTTTATCACTGTGAGTGGGACCTGGCCAATGAGAGTGGAAGACATCGAAAGATTAGGTGCCTTCGATCATAGGTGCCTGCGCTCTATCTCCCGTGTGAAGTGGTATAGTAGGGTGAGCAATATTGAAGTTAGGCGTCAGTTGAGTGCTAGGTTAGGAGGGGAGATCAACCGACGAGGCTGTGAAATTACATCGACTGAGGTTGTTAGGAGATTTGTTACATATACGTATGTCTAGTCATCGCCTTCCTCGGTAACGGGAAATGTTAGCTGACATTGAGTCAGGTTGGAAAGGAGCTAGCGGCGGTCAAACCAAAATATGGCTTCACCAGTCAATGAAGTCCACAACAGTTAGTTTAAGCCAGCCAAGTAGGGAGGTGTAGACTTCTTGGTTGCTGTCCTCGGAATGGTAAAAAGCAATGGTTGGAAACAATTGGTGATATCGCTCAAAATCGTTCTCAATGGCTGGTGTAGATGCATCCACTCTTTTTGACATATAATACCCAATGAAACTATGTTGTTCTGCGTTATTACTATTGCTTTTGTCTCATATCCCTGCCTACTGTCTCTATTATGCATTTCTTTTTACTTTCTTCTCTTGCTTTGTGTGCTACGTGGAGGGAGTGTGGCGACTTGAACTGGTGTACATCGGTGCAAATTTGTATGTCAAAAATAGATAGACAGGCAGACAGACAGAATTCCAGAAAATAACGAAATACCGCTGAATGAGTTTCAGTGGTCCTGTAAGTCAGGTGAGTTCATGGGCAAACACGACTGAAAATTCTTTACTACTCGGTGCAAGGGATTGGACCTAGGAAATTCAGGTCCCACAGCGATATCATTGTCCATTCAGTCACCGGGATAGAATCCGGTAGTAGAGTCATCAATCCTACTAATTGCTTTTGTGATCGATCCTGAAATATTAAATTTATTTTTCTAACCAATGTAAAGGAGTACGTCTGTGACCAGGGTTCGAACCCCGAACCACATGAGGCGTGGTTGGTGAACATTCTCTCGCTGTGCCACCAACTCACGGAAAAGAGTATTTTTCACATATAAGTTTAAAATGCAAATTGAAAGCAAATGAAATTTGGAAATTAAAGCAGAGCGTAGGCAATTTTTATACAGCCAAATGCGTAACATGCACTTTTATATTTGAACTTATGAATAATATTGCCAAACACCTGATAAGCTTTATCAAGTATCTCTGCCAAATAACACAAGATATATGAATGAATTATTAAATTATCATGCTGAATGTTGTTTTTGAAAAGAAAAAGAAAAATCACTGTCATCTGTGCAACACAGACACATATGCACGCACACACGCACGCACACACGCATACATACACAGGCACACAACAGACATACGCAGGCGCATACACACACACACACCTTCTTGATTAACTATAGGAGCAGGAGATTGTACTGGAGGAGGTGGTCCTATACAGGAGGGTAGGAAGAACGAAAATCAAAATTATTCCATCACTTGGATGTTGTACATTTGTATATTTATTGATCCCCTTAGCCAAAACACTAGTGGAGATCATGTGTTTATACATATACATACGTATATATCTTAAAATATGCTTTGCTAAACTGCTTTAATGTTCAGTAGAAAGAAATTCATACAAATATTTTTTATTATATATAATAAGTACTATTGGTAGTTGCCTTTCTGTGAAATCAATCAATTAATCAATAAAAGGCTAACTACCAATCAGTGAATGACCTTGAACGCGCCATTTTTACACGAAGGAGGCATTTTTGAGGCTATGGGAATACCTTTCTCTCATATGGGATGAAAACATCTCCCAGTTTAGTAGCATAGGCGTATCAACTGAAAAGTTACACCATATCCTAAATGACTATAAATAACATCCTTTTGAGATGCATTGATGGCTTTAATCCTGTTTCTAAACATTCCCCAAAAGAATTCTATAGAATGCTATTGATTTGAGTCCCTATAAATGAGAGCCACAAAATCATTAGAATAGTTGACTCTGTGGTAAATATATATCCTGGGGATGACAAGGAGTTACAACCTTTCCACTCACTCCTTTATGTGTGTATTACTGATCCCTATTTCATAAGTCGAGTAATAATAGGTAATAAATTATTTAGAGTGCGTTGGTGGCACAATGGTTAAAAGTCTCGCCGACCATGCAAATGGTCTGGGTTTAATGAACATTCATGGGCAACACCAACAGCAACAAGAACAACAGATAACAATCAGCATAAATGGGAGAAATCTGAAAGAAACAACCTCCTTTACCTACCGATCTGGGAAGCATCGTTTCAACTACAGGCAGACGGAACTGACGAGGCTATCAAAGCAAGGATTAGGAAAGCAAGACAAGCATACATCGCTCTCAAGTCTCTGTGGAGGTCAACAGCACTTAGCATGAAAAAAAAGATCCGGATTTCCAACTTCAATGTGAACTCAGTGCTACTTACCATATGGATCAGAGACTTGGCGCGTCGTAAAGAGCACATCAAACAAACTACAGACCATCATCAACAGCTGTCTTCGCTCAATACCACTCAAGATCAGATGGCCGGTCAGAAAACATCATCAACAGGGATCTCTGGGAATGAGCAAACCAGCCCAGCAGGAACCGATTGTGCAACAAATAAGCAGGAATAAATGGAGCTGGGTTGTCCATTCTCTGAGGAAACCATCAAGTGACATCACTAGACAAGCCCTCGAGTGGAACGCATACGGGGAGTGACGAGTTGGTGGTCACTGAGAGGGTGACATGGAGGAGGTCATGTGAAGAGGAGGTGAAAGCATTTGGGCAGACTTGGAGCCAGGTGGAAACGTTGGCAGAGAAGGGAACGCAATGGGACGTGTGGCTGAAGCCTTTGTTCCTCTAGGAATTAAAGGAAACAATAATAATAATAACAGGCACCACAGATGAGGATGAGTGGGAGCTCGGGAAACACAAAAACAAAACTTTCATCAATCTCAGATCACTGTAGAAATCTACTTCATTCAACAAAGGAAACATAATCTGGATCTTCAGAGCTAATGTCGAATGAGTATTTCTGTATGTTTCAAAGATTTCGTCGGTCACGAAAAGCAGTTTCAACAGCCAACTGCAGATTATGTAATTAATAGTTGCTTTCGCGCCATATTACACATATGAGATAACCAACCGGAAAGGCAAAGCATAAAAGCACTCTGACAAAGAGGGAAATAGAGATTGTCAGTGACACGAAGGAGATAGTGTGGTCAGGGAAAGGAAGCTTATGGGCAGTTGTGGATTCACTAAGAAAGCACAGAGTGAAATGATATTGTGCTGTGTACAAGGGAAGGCTCGTACTTACTTATCTATTTGAAACAAAAAACACAATTTCTTGATAAAAATGTGAACATCAAAAGTTGTGCCTTACACAAATACATTTTTTTAAATCAATAAAAAAGGCGGAAACACAAATAATGTACTAACAGTGTCGTAAAAAAACATCAAATGTATACGCCTAGTGTTGATTACTTCGTGATACTTTCAGAAAGACAAGAAAGAAGGCAATTTCAGGTAATATCTGGTAGTGGATTCAAATCCCAGCCGGATCCCATCACGTCTAGGGCCAAGGACTTATCACCGAAGGGAGTTGTGTCACCTCAACAGGCATTAGTGCCGTCTAACACAGAAATCCTAACTCATTTTCATTTTGTAGTTAACTAGTAAGATAATACATTACTATAATCGTCGGAATTACAGAATAAATTAGCATTTTGTTGTATAATATAGTTTGCTTTAGGCGCTTTTTCCCCTTTGTGACCTTGAAACGTTACCTTTTATAAAAGTACCTTAGCAATGCAAATAAACGACCTTTAAAGTTTATTTTTGAGTTCCGCGTTGACACCATTTAACGAATACATAAAATACGTGCTGAAATGTATTTTAGTTACCATTTAATATACACATATATCTATTTATATTCTGTATCTAAGGAAGTGACCTCGATAGATACATGTCAAAATACAAAAAAAACAAGGTCATTTATAACTTAGCTGGTTAATGTCAAATTAATTGGTTTCAATTAACGGCTTCGTTTAGGGGGTAAATGATTGATGTAAAGGCAAGTAGTGCATTGAGGTACCCGTATGCTGACAATATACACTACGCACACATACACACACACAAACATAAAACTTGAAAACTTAGCATATAACCTTATGTGACCTTGATGAAGACAATAACCAACTGCATAAAAATACTCCATAAATAGTAACTCAAATCATTTTATAATTTAGGTTTTAAAAGGTAATATGTTATGAAATGATTGAAACATGGAACAGTGCATGGATTTCATGTTTTGTACTAATGGGTATAAATCCGTATGGTAAACACAAGTGAAGGATATTCACTGTATTTCGATCGAACAAACTGACAGTAAGTATTACACATTGAATTATGAATAATATCTTTATTGTTGTACATTTGAACAGCATAGAATCATGTCTTATACTGTCAGCCATCACAAAGAATGTTTACATCCCCTTTTTGAAATCTTCGGTGGTTTACATTCTCACCTTACAGTTAGATAAGGCGTACATATTAACTGTGGTAGAATATAATTCCATTTAACGATAAGAGTTTATATTGATAAATCACACAGTGTTACACAGTAATATTAACTGATGACCACGTTTCGAGCACAAATTATTGTCACTCATAATCATACGATATGGTTCCCGTCCATCGAACAACATGCTCTTTGGTGCAGTCAAAAGTCGACAGATACCCTTCTAATGTTAACTCCAACTGTGTGTACAAATTAAAATGTATCTGCAGGAGCAGTTACATTGGAAGGACAGAAAGAAGGGCACAGCTCCGATTTTCTGAACATATGCCGAAAAGCCTACGTCTCAAGGGAACAAACTCTTATAATAGCGCTATTACTAGACATCTCGATACGGGTTGTGAGGTGGAAATCGAGAAATCCTTTAAAATTATCAATAGACAAAGGAGCTCCATTCTCCTCAAGTTTGTCGAAGCAATTTCTGTGAAACGCTTGAAACTAGATTTATTTGTCCAGAAAGACGCAGTTATTAGTCTTTCCTTGCCACCCTGGTAACTGGATGTCTTTATTCTCTTTTTCATTTGATTACGTAATCTTCGTCTTTAACCTCATCTCTGTGATACAGTGTAGTTTCGATTGTCTGGTGTTTCTATGATTGGAGTTGAGCTTAGTTTACTGTTACCTAATTTATTAGTCACTCTGCATCTAACGCATATCTCGTCTTTATTACGTAACTCCTTTACCATTGTATGCATACGTTTACTTTGAATAAACTTGAACTGCCTGTGTAAAAACTATGTAAGCGCAATTTTCTGAGCACTGTTCACTAATTGTGGTACCTTCTGTTAACTGACACCTTGTAAAATTTGCAAGTATGTTAAAACTTTTCTGTACATAAATCTCAGAATTTTTTAGGCTCTAAGCAGCAGCTGATGAGAAGCCAACGAAATAAACAATGATGGTACCATATGATTCTGCACAAACCACCACTGTTGTTTTTGCTTTATTCAAATTACATGAATATGTTGTTTTACAGCTGCAACTGTTTATGACTGTAGTCAAGGTGACACACTGAGAAGTGACCTTGGATTGTCTGAGCGAAATGTGTTTTGTACAGTCTGATTCTTGTAGACAGAGTTTCGATCTCACATTGTTGAGAATACATCTTTTTTTATCATTAAACAATTTATAGGTGCGTTTGGTTATTTCATGTTGTTGTGTAGTACGTAATTTGTCACTGAAGTCACTTTGGAAGTGTATATCTTCTGTCGGATCACATTGTTGAGATAGTTTTATATTTTTGATATAAGTTATTTTTGTAGAATGGAACTCCAGATTCTATGACATCAACTTGTCTTTTTGATATTAATGAAAGTGTGCCTGATTCATAAAAGTTTGGTGATCTATACAGGAAGACACATCGTGTGATTTCTGCTTTCAGACTGTATTACTTCAGCTTTGGTCGTTACAAATACATATGGATGAGTAAAAACCTACCAAGAAAACTAAAACAGAAGTCATTATTCATACTCATAGTTTCCGTAATCAGCTGCTTAGAATATATATATAAATTCATTGTTTTGCCAGTGGTCTGTTTTGCCGCCAATGGTCTTCATCATCGGACACTCTCGTTAATTACTGTCTCAATCAATTATTTATTATTATTGTTTCTTTTAACTTTTAGATGAACATGGTGCTTAGGCCACACGTCCCCATTGCGTTCCCTTCTCTGCCAACGTTTCCACCTGGTTCCACGTCTTCCCAAATGCTTTCACCTCCTCTTCACATGACCTCCTCCAAGTCACCCTCACACTGACGACCAACTGGCCGCTTTCCTTTCAAGTTCCAGTCAAGTGATAGCTTGTCTAGTGATGTCACTTGATGGTTTCCTCAGAGAATGGACAACCCAGCTCCATTTATTCCTGCTTATTTGTTGCACAATCGGTTCCTGCTGGGCTGGTTTGCTCATTCCCAGAGATCCCTGTTGATGATGTTTTCTGACCGGCCATCTGATCTTGAGTGGTATTGAGCGAAGACAGCTGTTGATGATGGTCTGTAGTTTGTTTGATGTGCTCTTTACGACGCGCCAAGTCTCTGATCCATATGGTAAGTAGCACTGAGTTCACATTGAAGTTGGAAATCCGGATCTTTTTTTTCATGCTAAGTGCTGTTGACCTCCACAGAGACTTGAGAGCGATGTATGCTTGTCTTGCTTTCCTAATCCTTGCTTTGATAGCCTCGTCAGTTCCGTCTGCCTGTAGCTGAAACGATGCTTGCCAGGTCGGTAGGTAGAGGAGGTTGTTTCTTTCAGATTTAGCTCCTCCCATTTATGCTGATTTTGTCTGTTGCTGTTAGTGTTGCCAAGCAATCTCCATCGCCTACCTCTGTCTTCTCTATGTTCACCTGAAGTCCTATCTTCCTGTATGCTCCTTCTACCGACAATTTGTTGCTTTTCACTTGCATATCTTCCAGTTTGTGGGAAATCAGACATATATCATCGGCGAAGTCCAGATCATTCAAGTTTTTGTGTGAGTCTATTTTATGCCTGTTTCTTCATTGCCTGCTGTCTGTTGCATTATCCAATCTACTGCATTCAGGAAAATCAAATGCAATAGTAGGCAATCTTGTCTTACTCCTGTCTTTACTTCGTAGGATTCTGTAAGTTTCCCGTTGTGAATTACTTGGCATGCAGCATTGTCGTACAACTGTTGGATGAGATGTATAATTGTCGGCGGCATCCCGTAGTAGCGAAGTAGTCGTCAAATCACCTCACAATCGATGCTGTCTGTCGAAGGCCTTTTCAAAGTCGATGAAGTTGAGATAGAGAGGTGACTGCCATTCCAAGCTTTGTTCAATGATGATCCGTAGTGTGGCGATCTGATCAATACATGACTTGAATCTCTTGAATCCAGCTCGTTCCGGTCGAAGTTTTTCATCCAGGTTGGCGTGTTTGATTCTCTCCAGGTCTCAATCAATACGACTACATAATGGGAAGATATAACTGCTTGTAGAAAGATAGATTTATGATGATTTCTGAAATTTATATACTGCAGCCGTTGCGGTATTGTAACGGTAGAAGATGAGAGACTTGATAAAGGAATGTTCATTCTAGCAGTTTGGTATCTCTGTATAGCCAAATGATGTACACCTCATCTTCAACGCACCATTTGTTACTTCTGGCCTTCCTTCTTATTGCATGTGTTTCCTGTCTCTTATGTCTCTCTCACGTCTTCTATGTATCTCTCCAACGCTGTATTATTATTTTTTTATCCTTCACGTTCCCAGTGGAACATAGGGTTTCAAGCTGGTGGCTTCAAGCTTCTATGGCAGTGTTTATTTTACAGGATGGGCTGCTAGCCTCATGCCCAACCTTTTCTCTTTACCAGCATTATTTTTGGCTTAGTGAGGTAAAGGAGTGCGTCAGCCGGGAATCGAACCCCGGACCATGTGCATGATCGGCGAGCGTTCTAACCGCTATGCCGCCGACGCCTTAACTGTATTATTTGCTTTCTCTGATATCAAATGTATCTCCCTGGGATTTGATGATTTTATGCCAATGAATATTTCCTTATATATTTATACACTACTTATAAACCTTATCAGTAGCACACGCCACAGTATCACCTATATATATGTGCTGGAATTAGTGGGTTACCAATGCAGACGTGCAGTGTACAGAAAAACCAGTTGATGGAAATAAATTATTTCGACATGTAGGATTGGAGAAACCTAGGACAGCCACTGTGACATGCACAGTGAAACAAATCAATTCTATCATAATCTTCTCATTTGAACTCTTACAGCCTCTTTGTACCGAGTTGGTAAAACACATTGCTGTAAAGGATACTTTTGGATTTGTTGAAAGGATAAAAGATTAAAATGTTGACAATAAATTCATGATATCATTTGTTGACGTATCTTCCTTATTCACCAATGTGTACCACTTATGGAAACAGTGGACTTTGTATGCGAAGAATTCATAAGACGAAACATTGATATTGACATTCGTATATCTTTTATAAAAGCGCTTCTCTTGAAATGCATAATGATTGTCTACTTTTTATTTAATTTGGAACTATATGGACAAATCGAGAGTGTGGTAATGGGGTCACCACTAAGACCCATTCTAGCCGACATTTTCTTTGCGAAATTAGAAAATGGGCCATTGAAAGATGTTGTTGATGAACTTGAATTCTATTGTCGGTACATGAATGATACAGTTTTGATCATGAAAAATGAGGATAGAGCAAAGAACATCCTGTATGGACAAATTTAACGAGGTTCATCCTGCAATAAATTTTACTATTGAGAAGGAAAAGACTCTAGTATTTCATTTCTAGACGTCCTTATAACCAGAAAAGAGAATGGCACAATAAGAAGAAGTGTATGTTGAAAACCTACATCAACTAACTGGTCATTAGACTCATTCTCGTCCAATTTCCTGACATCACTCTACGTGGTTAAGCAAAGGACAAACAAAATCTATCCTCAGCGCTGTTTTGTCTCATCGTGTGGATACAGAACACAAGATTAACATTAACCATACTTTCAGGGTCATTTACCGCATACCTACGAATCTTATTTTCGTCTTAAGAGTTCAACTACTAAATATTGCTGAGTCTGACTGTTGGGATCCATAATAACAAGCCTAATTTGTGCATCCAAAGGAGGTTAGTTCAGACATTATCCTTACTTTGGCCATCTACATTTGAATGATTCTCAGTTTTTGTGGAATTTTCATAATTTTAGTTGATACTCTATTTGCTATTGCGTCTTTATTATTATTATTATTTAAGCATCTTAAATGAATTGTAGTTCCATTGGTCTTACTTTAAAATCGACACGACTACTATTCTAGAATATTTTATGCATATAAGCATGCATATATAACTGTAGATGGGGAGAAGGAAATTATCGAAAAGGATATTCTTTGCTCAATTATTTTGTGTTTCATTTGATAAATCTTGTTTCCCGAGTAATTAATTGGTGAAAATATTATTTTTTTTTTTTACAAAATTACACTTCTCTTGATGCTTGACTTACGTGGACCAACCATTACACCGAATGGTGAATTTGGTATTTGTTGACCAGCAAAGAATACATTAACTGAATGTAGACCTTCATCTTTTGGTGTATACTCAACAAGATAATTATCTTCACCTTGACGCGTGATCAATGGTTTAATAGCATCACGTCGACCAAGTGGATCGAGAATAACACAATCTACATTTCCAGGTCCAGCAGCTGAAAGAAGAAAAATTAGAAAGCAACAAAGAAAAGGTTATAAAAAAATTGAAGGATGAAAATGATAGTCAGGCATTCTAAGTTTCATCACCAACCAGAAAACTTTTGACAGTCTAGAGCTACTTATTCACGAGACCTATGCGCTTAATGAAATACAGAACCGCCAGCAGTGGTGGATTCAAGGCTAGAAATTCGATGGTATGCTTCTATAGACTTCGAACTTCAGAAAAATCAAATCACATCTCTCACAACTTGCTTGGTTGTATTATACTGCGAGTTGAATTCACTGTTGGCATGATAATGCGCACTTCAAGATACGCACATTGTCTCCTGGAAAATGATTACATTTTCGTTTTTTCAGTTGATTCTCTAAATGATGCTGATTGGTGTTAAAGCCTACTATGAAATCTGCATAAGTTAAGTATGTATTACCCCTTGATCGGTTATGTTGAGCGAAAATATGCCGTTTCTATAAAAAATATTTGCTCAAACACTCCAACAGTATTTGAAGGTTTGTTGTTTAAATTAATGAGCACTGGGTTTGAAAATCTCACTAGGAATACTATATATCATTCAGGGAGAATGCAAGTACATACAGATGACGAGTAGTAAACAAGGTGAAATACGCATCATAGGTCACAATTCTAATTGCCATCAACCAAAATAAACATTTGTACTATTAAATCATTTAATTTGTCCACAATGGTTTGTTTATTGGATGTATTACACAGTGAAACAGTACTACATACTGGATGATGTTTCGAACACAACTCTTTATTGTCGTTAATCATATCAATTGTAATCACACGACTTCGAAACTTGAGTTTTATAGTTTTCTTTGTATTCTCCTATTTGTCATTGTACGGGTACTAGGATTTTTCAGATATCTGGAACAGGCGTTGTCAAAATAGTAGAACAGGGGTAGTCAGACTAGCGGAGCATAGAAACCTAGCAAATTCTAGATTAGTTGACCCAAATAAGATAAGAAATCTAGAGAATAGTTCAGCTATACCACTTACTACATGCAGTTACGCACAACAAATTTATACCATAGGATGGTATAAGATGACAGTTTTAAAATCTAGTGTAATAGCAGGATGGAGGGAGAGATTGGTAACGGAATTTTTGTTTATCGAATCAACTGCAAATACGTGTAATAGGAATGATTCAACACCTGTTCAGTCAGATATCTGGAAAAGTCGACTACCCCAACAACGACAAATAGGAGAGAGCAAAGAAAACTATGAAACTCAAGTTTTGAAGTCATGTGATTATAATTGATGAAATCATTACGAACAATAAATTTTGTTCGAAACTTTGTCATTCAGTAAATAATACTGTTTCACTGACTGTGTGGTATATCTAATAAACAAACTAATACGGAATTACTTACTACCACCGTAGTGCCCAAGTTTTACACATATATTAACATTTAATTTCTCACAAATCTTTCAGTTGAATGCTTTTTGCTTCATTCCCTGCGTTTCGAGTGTTGCATGTGCCTTCAAGTTATGACATTTCAGTGGCAGTGGCATTGTTTTACTACAACGTGGAGTTCTTTCCTAGCTTCACGATCAACCAACCAACCAACCTTTCATCTTTATAGCTATCGGTTAGCCAGCTAGGAGAGGGGTTAAAGAGGATGGCATCCTGACCACGTACGTGGTTAGCAAGCATCATACACCACTGAATCAAACTCATATATATATAGTGACTGATTTGTTGTCAAATAATTATTGACTTGTCTGGGCGTGCATTGAGGTCAGTTCCATGCTGGATACCAAAGCAAAATAGTCTGACTTTTTATTGTGTTTCATTTTGCCTTCTTTTCAAGGTATTCTCTGGACGATTTTTTTCACAAACAAAGCACACACGTACACGCACATAAACACACACACACACACACAACAGAATAAACAGAAGCGAAAAAGAGCAACAACTAAACAGTGATGAATCAGCTAGAGAATTAAACTGCTACTAACGATGTGTGCTGCAGGAATAAACATCCCATTTTGTTTGAGATTAGAGAAAAAGAAAACAGACTAATGCTATAGGTGGGGGGAGGGGGCTTTTCACTGTCAATAAAGTGTTTACAATGTAAATGATAATAATAATAATAATAACAAAAAATAGACAGAACAAAAATAAAAAATGGAATACACTGGAGGACAACATTTAGTTTAATATATACATTTTATGAAACTGTTTCGTATTTCTTTGTCAGATGAAGACAGATAGGAAGGAAGAGAAATATGAATAAACAAGATGGTAAGTGGACAGCCATTTACACCTTACTCATCTAACTTTTTAGAAATTGCCCTGAGGAGTTGTCAAGGCATGTAATTAGAAGTTAACTGGTGGATGGTGAGTAGCAATGGAATCCAGGATGTGCATTTCGCCTGTCTTATTTGGGACTCGTCAGCTACATGTACCTGCATTCCTCAGTGAGTGGTGATGTTCCCACCAAGACTCGAACCCAGTGCCATCGAGTGGGAACATGCTCACTGACTGCGGAATGCACGTACATCCACTGGCTGACGAGTCTCAAATAGGACGAAATGCATATTCTGGATTCCACTGCTAGTCATCATCCAATAATTCACTTCTAATTACATGTCCAGATATCGTCGAAGCATCTGCACACTAGAAGCCGACAGACATGTCAACCTGAAACCCAGCACTTCAGTCCAGTCAGTCGACGGGAAAATAGAAAATTGAATTATATATATATGTATATATATGAATATTATAGTATATCAAGTTTGCGAAAAATTCAGCCGCAAGGTGTTCTGTTTCCTTTGTGTTCAGTTTTTAAAAGCACTAATCAAGTATGAGTAACCTTCAGCTATTCGAATTATTATTATTATTATTTTGAAGTTTGAGTTTACAAGGATTTACTTGATTTCAATATGGATCACAAGATGATATCAGCCAGAGAACCAGTGAACCAATAGTGACATTAGCTGACTATTGGCGTATAAACCACGAGTTGGCAGAAGTCAGAATTTATGACTTTATGCATCATGTTCTAGTAGCTTAACTTATAACCTGTAGGTCCTAGGTTCAATCCAGTGGTGGAGCCAAAGGATGAAACAGGATGTCCAGGACTTTTTGGTTTCAGATAGTTTTCTGACTGATGTCAGTTTGTGATCTAATTTGCAATCGATTAATCAAATCCCTAAAATTTTGATGTGGCTGTGTTCCCTGAGCTGGATAGTTAATTTGACGAAGCTTTCATCACCCTACTAGGCGACATCTTCAACGCGTACTTCAATTCGTTGAAGTTAGCTTTTAGATTTTTCCACGAGTTTATTAGTCATCTCTCCTGGTGGGTTACCTTGAACGTGATAGGTTGTTTTTATGTGTGTTTTCACACCTTCTAGGTTACTTGTATTGGAACTTGAACTTTGACCCTCTGTGTGTGAGGTTTCTTTCTTATCGGTTGATAAATTTTCTCTATCTCGATGTGTCTATTGATTGATGATTCACTGGAGTACCAGGTAGGCTTCTAAAAATTCTCTAGCATTCTTGGTGTTGTTTCCTCTGTCTGTCTCTTATTCTACCTTAGTCTTGATCTCTTCACGAGTCATTCTCTGCAAAAATATGTAATTTTTAAAAAATTTTTTTTATTTCCAGTTTTACTTGAATAATTAAGTCACTACCGAAAATACCCAATGAGTCATGAAGAAAATAAAAGACAAATTCAGCAAAGGAAATCTTTTTCGACGTTGTACAGTGCAGCTTTGTACCATTGAGTACCACATAATTTACAACTTTTATTTATTACTTATTGAATTGAATTTTTGATTTTCCCGTTGATTGATTGGACCGAAGTGCTCGGTCTCAGGTTGACATATCGGCTTCTTGTGCAGATGCTTTGACGATGTCTGGGGATTTGATTTGTATACAATTGGTGGATGGTGGCTAGCAGTGGAATCCAGGATGTACATCCAGCTGACCAGTCCCAAATAGGACGGAATGCGCATCCTGGATTCCACTGCTAGCCACCAACCACCAATTGTATACAAATCAAATCCCCAGACATCGTCGAAGCATCTGCACAAGAAGCCGACATGTCAACCTGAGACCGAGCACTTCGGTCCAATCAATCAACGGGAAAATCTCAAATTCAATTAAAATTAACATGACCCGTTGCACAAGAGGTGGCTCTCGTGGCCCAAGTGGTCTAGTGGATAACGCTTTGGCGTTTGAAACTATGAGCACTGGGTTCGAGCCTCTGTGGGAACGTCATCACTCACTGAGAAATGCAGGTACATCCAGATGACGAGTCCCAAATAGGACGAAATGCGCTTTATCCTGGATTCCACTGCTAGCCACCATCCACCAATTTTATTTATTACTTCTAAAGCCACTTTTGAGTAATTATATCAGTTCATATGTCACCCCCTGCCCCTATTACTCAATAAAAGACTACTATACAATTTTTGGTAAATATAAATACGACTGTACAGCCAGACTCTGAAGACAGTTTCGTCGACAAAGAATATTTTTTTCACTGAATAGTGACAATCTTGAATCAATAAAGTGACAGTCTCTAAAAAAATGAAAAGTGAGAACTGTGTAGTTCACACAAATCAATGAATAGTACAACCACTACACAAGTAGACAACAAGTAGATACACGTAACTTTGACAACATTGATTCACAGGGACTCACGGTCATTACTGTAACCAGCTGTGTGTTTAATTGTTTTTGTAAAACCAGTAAGTGAGTTAAAAGTGAAATTTCATAAAAGGGTATATAATGAATATACTTTGACTAGTATACAATATTTACAAATACACCCTTCGCTTACCTTTACTTGTGAAGAGGAGTACGACAATAAACTACATATTCTGGATGTCTTGCTGGGCAGGCGAGAAGATGGGTGACTTTGAAGAAACGTGTATAGAAAAAACACATTCACAGGGCAATACGCACACTACCTTAGTTTCGTGCCCGTTAAATATAAAAGAAATGTCGTTAAAGGTCTTACGAGCAGAGCAAGAAAGATATGTACGGATGACCTTTTACACAAGGAATTTAGATATATATTCACGATTTCTTGACGGGGATGGGCTATCCGAGTAGTTTCATAAAGAAACATATGAAAACATCAGAGAGAAAACCTGCGACTTTGGCTGCACGTAAAAAGCCTCTATTTATAAATTACAATTTAATGGTGACTTATCTAATGAGATTTTATTCCAAAGACTTTCAAGGAGTATACGTAGAACATTTTATGCAGTACACCTATGTTTGTCATTCTCTAGCCGACGAATGACTGGACGCAAACGAAGAATAAGCTTGATAGTTTTGCCACATCTATGTGTATTTATCAGTTCAACTGCACCTGCGGTGACAGTTATGTTGGGCACACTACTACTAGACAGCATAGCCACCCAACGTGTTAGTGAACATATCCAATCATCGTGTTTTGGCAAAGGACAGACAAAAAACAATCCGCAGCTCAATTTTGTCACATTTAATTGATAGTAGTCATCTAGGGAAGAAAACTAGAGCCTTCAAAGTTATTCATCGTATCCCACCGAATCTTTCAAATAGACTTCGTATTCGTCTACTGCACACACACATCTGAGGCAGGCGATAGGCATTCGAACAGCCATTATACCTCGCTCGTTGGCAGATGAAGACATAACCAACTAATGACTTCTACATCACCCCTTGTTTATATTTTCAACCCCTCTCTTATCATCACCCTTAATCTTATCACATCTTCATTAAAAACCTGTCTCATTTACTTCCCTTACAATCTAATATTACTTAATCGGTTCATTTGTTTTTACTAGCCTTTATCGACTACTATGTCTACTTGAACATCTGTTTGTTTGATCATGCTGTTTTCCATTATTCGTGTTAACACAGACTGCCTCCCTTTTTTGATAAGACCATTATTATGATTATTATTACTATTATTAATATTATCATTACCAGTATTATGACTAACTGCACAATTTATATTCACCATCTCATTATCCTATAGACAAAACACCATGATTGGTTTATATTTGAATTTTTCTTTGTAAACCTATGCATATTAGGGTTAAGCCTGATGAGATCTAACTGAAAGCACAATATTCGTTTAAATGTGTTATTCTAAATACACATTTGAAAAAGACATCAAATGACAGGTGGATATTTCGTTAAACTTTCTACCTAAAGAGGTTAAGACACTCTGGTATCACTCAATCTTTACTGTTATATGTTGTTAATTCATGTATTCTACCTATGCTTTTTTATCACTCCCCCTTTATCTTATCTAAGCTACTAAAGAAAGACTGTTTCACTGCGATGAACACCACAAGCTGTCAGTATGACGAATGCAGGGGGTAGCTAAATCAACTTGTTAATACTGTCGGTAAAAAAAACACATAGGCTCAAGCAAGGGGATTAGAAAATATTATCTTGTAGGATTTTGAGTATCCTATCTAGACACAGTTCTCTCTTATTGTATCCCATCAGGTAGTAGTAGTAGTGGTACTAATAGACGCAACTATACAAGACTTTAGGGTTGGATGGCTTAGTATAAAAACTCTACTACACCATAGTTGGGCGAGATCGCCTCCCATCGTATCAGGGCCTTCGTTGCCGTTGATGATATTATGATAGCCACACGTTCGGTGTACATGTCTTCTGGGTTACCAGAGTAGATCATCGACTCTCCCATTGAAAATTTGGTGAGTCCACTCCTATTCCATCTGCTTTCGCATATATTCCCAGTACTTGAAACCCCCGTATCTTTTCATCTCGTTTGCAATCTGTACTTGGAGGATGTGGACTTCGCCTATGATATACGTCTGATTTCCCACAAACTGGAAGATATCCAAGCGAAAAGCAACAAGTTGGCGGTAGAAGAAGCATCCAGAGAAGATAGGACTTCATGCGAACATAGAGAAGACAGAGGTAGGTGATGAAGATTCCTGGCCAACAGCAACAACAACAACAGACAACAATCAGCATAAATGGGAGGAACTTGAAAGAAACAACCTCCTTCACCTACATACCTACCTGGAAAGCATCATTTCAACTACTGGTGGAATCGAATGATAGGAATATCAAAGCATCGAGAATCGGGAAAGCAAGTCAAGCTTTCATTACTCTCAAGTCTCTGTGGAAGTCAACAACACTACTCAGCATGAAAAATAAGATCCGGATTTTCAAATCCAATGTCAAGTCAGTGCTACTTACTATATGGATCAGAGACTTACAGTGCGCGTCAAACAAACTATACACCTTCATCAACAGCTGTCTTTGCTCACTATATCGCTCAAGGTCAAATGACCGGCCAGGAGAGATCAGCAACAGGGATCCCTGGCAATGAGCAAACCAACCCAGCAGTAACCAATTGTGCAACAAAAATGCATGGAGAAAAGGAGGTGGATTGGCCATACTATGTGAAAACAAACCAGCAAGTGAGTGACATCACAAGACAGGCCATCGCTGGAGTGGAACCCGAAAAAGAAGCGGTGAGTTGGTCGTCATTGCGAGGGTTATATGAAGGAGGTCACGGCAAGAGGAGATGAAAGCATGTGGGCAGACCTGGAGACATGCGAAAACGTTGGCGGAGAACTCTGGAAGCAACGGAGACATGTGGCTGAAGCGCTATGTTCCTCTAAGAACTAAAGGAAACAGTGATAATAATATTGATGGATGCAAAGGGGTATCAGTTATTATCTTTCTAAGATTTTTTTTGTTTTCAAGAATAAATTACTATGCATAAAAGAAGTTAAAATTACCTGCAGTGAATATATTGAAGAATGTACGTCGACCAACTTGATTTCCGGTTGGTTCAATTCCAGGACCAGAAGCAGTTGCTTTACTTGCATCCCCCTGTGCACCTTCCACCAACACTTTAAATGGTGAATTCAAGATTTCTTTTGTAGCAAACTTAATAATCACTCGATATTCACCTTCTTGTGTTGGTACATAGGCGCATGAATAAGTTTGTTGTTTATCATTATTACTGAGGACATCACACTAATTAAAACAAAAAAGGTAGAAATGAAAAGAAGAAACCAGTGATGAGCATTTTATGTAAAGGATAAAAAAAGATTTACTCATTGGCAGACAATATGATAAAACAAAACACAACTAGAGAGATGAACTGGACAGTTTATCAACTTCCAGAGCTTTGTTCTACTGATCCGAAAGAGAAACCTAGTACGTACATTGTGTTCAAGGATCAGAAAAATTTGCTCGGAAGACATGGTAGAGGAAGAATTAAATTTATTACGTAAAACCCTACTAGAGAATGGTTATCCATCAGAAATTATTGACAGAAACATGAAGTAGTAGCCTCCGGTGTCAAACATTGCAAGGTCCCTAAGAAGACTCTCAGCATGAACATATAATTAAAAGGTGATGTTGCAGCGGAAATTCTCAGAAACCGCCGCTCCAAATGTTTGAAGAAGACAAATCCAACCGCCACTCTACGTATCGCATTTTCCTGCAGACAGTTAATCCAATCTAACGCTATGGACAAGATACCGCTTTTGACCACTTCAATGTGTATTTATCAATTTACTTGCTCGTGTGGAGCAAGGTATATCGGCCGTGCGCGACGTCAAGTCCACAAAAGTATTCTGGAACATTGTCCAGCTTGGTTAACCAGATAGAGGAGAAAAGAATAACAGCAGTAGCTCTGTCCTCGAACACCTTGTCATCTACGGATATCGAGCATCCCCGCCTGCATGAATGCTTCAAAGTGTTACAGAGAGTCGCTCAATAACGTACAAAGGAACTTCGAATACGTCATCTGTACATGGCTGAAGCATTAGCTATTCGAGATCTGAAACCGGACCTCTGCATTCAAAAACGATACATACATTCTCTCGCCCTACCATGGCCAGAGTAAAGTTCTTACTACAATTTCGCTTCTTTGTTTTATTATGTAAGTCCACTATCATTATTATTACTATTGTTATTATTACATTTATTATTAATACTTTTATTATCATTATTATTCCCATCATCCACATTTTATTACCAGCCTATTACTGTTTATTAATAACGTTGCATTTTCATACAGATTTTATGTAAAAACACTTTATCGCCTTTCTACTAGTTCCTGTCCATTCTACACGAGCTTATTGATTAGTCATTATCTCACACTTATTACGTCATGGGAACTTCTGTCACTTTTCTAACTTACAATTAGTCATCCCTTCTTACACCTTATATTATGTAATACAATTTTTTCAAGGACAAAATTTACCAGTATCTCATCGGTCTAAAGATATCTTTGTTAATTATAATTATGATTGTACAACTCATGAAAATGAATCGTCGAAAAGAAAATTTTCGTCACTGTTTTTACCTTTTTCTTACAACTAGAGAGTACTAGACTACTGTTTCGACCTTATTTAGACCCCTTCATCAGTTTTACACCGTGAATCCTCAAGGAGTCAAATCTAGGACCTATAGGTTACAAGGTGAACGCAGTATCCCCTCAGACTTAGGCAGAGAATACAACAGTCAGCTAATTTTAACTCTTTGGTTTTCATTTAGACGCACAATCGTGCGTCAGTGGTACAGTGGTTAGGACTCTCGCCGACCATACACATGGTCCGGGGTTCGATCTCCTGCCGACGCATACCCGATGTCTATGGTCGGCCTGCAAAATTTGGTCTACCGATATCCATGCTGAAAATTCCACACTTGTACCAAAAATACAGTGTGGAATCAAGCTGTAATCAAAAACAAAAAATAAAATTAAAATTAAAACATATAATTATTTTTGTCTATCTAACTACAATTGTACAGCTAAGTGAATGAATTCGCTGAACTACGTGTTTTGTTTTCATTACTGTCTGAATGGTGACTATTCATGAATGTGAAGGTATGTGAATTCCTGCCAAATTCCTGCAGATTGCCGCCAACTATCGAATATCATCAAATGTGAATGTGCACCGTGATGGCGAGCCACCGAGTAGAATGGTGGCCGCATTGCAAAAACCTGACTGATAGAATTCAGTTTGCACCAAAGAAAGGACTTGACACATCGCACTAGTTACTAGTGTCCAATCAAAATACCCACTACAGTCCTACAGGAGGTCAATCGTGAGCCCAAATAGCTCAGTGGTAACGTCTCTGACTGCAGCACTGACTGGGTGACGCAGATTCGAATCACATGTGAATGTATATCAAATTTATCAAAAGTAGATCAAACAACTAAAAGGTGATATATTAGAACGATGATAGAATACATTCGTAAAGAAATCAATGCCAGTATCAGTCACCCGGAGAAATACAAACATCACACAAGAATAATTCCCAAAGCTCACTTCAAATTGAAGATGACGATGACAGTGCTGTCGAGAAGGATAATGAAAGCATCACAATTAAATCAGCCACCTCAGAAAACACAGAAGAACTAAAAATATGTGGAATACACATTCAGTCATCCCATTTTTTATTTATTGTTTAGTATGAATTTAATATGCATAACTTTGTCATCATCTTTGCGTCCCAAATGGAACATAGAGCCTCAAACCGGAGCTCTGAAGTTACAGTAATGGCAGTGTTGCTGCCCTCACACTCAAATACTCCTCTTTCCTACACTCACGATTGTTTAAGCAAGACTTAGGAATGTATTGGTGGCCAAGAATTGGGCCCGGAACAGGTGTGTCGTTGGCTGGCATTCTAGCACTGAATCACGGATTTAATAAACATAATTTAGTAAATCTGGATTATATTTCTACATTTAAAAATTCTGTCATACTTGCAGCGTGATCGTAATGTATCTTTTCTTATTTCATGAACCAGTTATTATAATAAAAGTGGTAATTAAATTTCATAAGGTGGACTGTACATACACAACGAAAGTTCATCAGGCATATTTCACCATAAAAGTTGATTCTGTATTAAATTATTGAAGAGTAAGTTACAGAACATTCACTTTTTCAATCCTACTGATCTATTGTGATATAGGAATAGCATCTAATCATTTTATTCGGTTTATATATCTCTTTATTTTTATGAGTTGATCACGGATTGATATCAGTTAGAGAACCATTGAAAGGCACCAGGGAGTACTGCCAGACAGCTGTTTCAGGAGCCTAGTTCGGGAGGTACTCACCCACAACCAGGGTTCTAACCCAGGACATTCCGGTTACAAGGCAAGCTGGCTCGTATACCATTCAGCCACTGAGACCCGACTGCTCAATGTCCAGTCCATGAATTCTAACTTCTACCAATTCTTGATTTAGCGCGACCCCAACCATTGTCGTCGGTGGGATATCCATCTTCACACGCGACACCTGGATGGACCTCACTGGTCATGACTTCTCACTAGAACCTTTTGTTACCGCTAACGCCAGTAAATATGCTAGTAGTATCTACTTTTCTAACACCTTCAAACACTCTGTTCAATTTTGGCTTAGCTACCGACATGCCAATATTGTTGTTGTCATAATGAAGTGAGTTTACTTTAATCTATGTAGAATTTTATTTATTGTTAATGTACTAACTGGATGCAATACTGTAGTAAAATGCTGAGAATTCCATTCTGTCTCATAAGTAGTGTTTTGGAATAAAGCAAATTATTATTATTATTCAAGTGTTGGTTTGTAGGGATTTGATTGGTTTCAGGATTTCATCATGAGCTGACAGTAGCTAGAGAACCATTGGAAAACCTGGGAGTACTGGAGTACTGGTATACAAGCTCGCCTTGTAACCGGAAGGTCCTGGGTTCGAATCCCGGAGGGTGCCTACTGCTAAAGAGTCCCAAACTAGGACGAAACAGCTGTCCAGTACTCCCAGGTTTTCCAATGGTTCTCTAACTACTGTCAGCTCATGATGAAATCCTGAAACCAATCAAATCCCTACAAACCAACACTTGAATAACAATAAGATGCTCACTGGTGACTGGCCCTATTCAGGTAGGTAGTTACCTGGGTTCCAGTGGGAAGTCGTGACCAGTAGGGTGCAGATGGTCGGGTGTGAGGACAAATACTCGCCGAAGACATTGGCTAGGGGTCGTGCTATGTCGTGAATTGGCAGAAGTTAGAATTCAAGGACCATTGGATCGGGTCCCAATGGCTGAATGATATACGATTCCGCTTGGCTTGTAAATGGAAGGTCCTGGGTTCGAACCATGATGGTGAGTGCGTACCGCCGATGATTCGCAAACTAGTGGCTGAAACAGCTATCCACTTCTCCCTGGTTTTCAGTAGTTCTCTTACTGATATCAATCCGTGATCAACTCGTAAAGCAAAAACTAACCCTTATAAAACAAACTTTAGAATATATTTCTTTATACCAAAACATTTATATTAAATTGCTTCACAAAGTTAATTTAATCTACATCTGTGTATTTGACTCACCTTAAAATTGTAAAATTTTAAAAAATAACGACCTGAAGGGTGAGAAAGGACGAATCAATAACTAGTCACTGTCAAAAGTCTAATTTAGGTCCTTAACTCAATACTAGATGCGTCAGTGTTTGAATTGTAGAATACTCGCTGATTACACATGTAGCAACCAATGCACTCTTCAGCTTCGCTTAGCCAACCTTAAGCCTGCTAAAGAGGATAAGTTGCTGGTGGTGGTGGGGGGGAGGTTGAGGCTAGCAACCAAATCACATACGACTGAACCTTCGAAGCTGTTAACACAAAGGCGAGTGAAGGAAACTGATCCCCCTCCACCCACCTTAACCTAAGCTTCATCTTTCCCTAACCTAACCCTAAAGTGATAAAATATCCTGTTGTGGTGAGAGCTAGCTGCTAGACAAATTAGTGGACAGTAATTTACGTCCCCAAAATTCGTCGTGAGAAAAATGAGAACAAAGACTGATTCAACAACCAATCACAGCACACTTTGCGTAGGCGGATACGGTTAACATTTTATTTTATTTATTTTATTTTTGATTACAGCTTGATTCCACACTGTATTTTTGGTACAAGTATGGAATTTTCAGCATGGATATCGGTAGCCCGAAATTCGCAGGCCGACCATAGATATCAAGTGTGCGCCGGACCATGTGTATGGTCGGCGAGAGTCCTAACCACTGTGCCACCGACGCACATATAGATGATCTGACATTCAAGAAACAGCCACAAGGAGATGCAAGGTTAACTTTCTGTGAGAAACAACCCATCAGAAGACTGTGTTTTCCTGCTGACAATAATCTATAATAATGTACATGAAAATCTATAAGTATGTGTTGATTTCCTTAATAAGCTATCTTTTGCCTGGCCCTTGTCTTCTGTTGTTACACTGTTAGTTATCTCTACACTTCTTCTAGCATTTTTCTACAAATATTGCATCTATTGCTTGGTTCCACTAACTTTATCTTCTTTGAAGTTTCAAGGTCATTGTTATGTTCATCCTCTTGAGTCATTATTCTTTACCCTTACCCTTAAAATTACATCTGATCCTATTTCAAAATTCGCTATAACTCGTATAGAGTTTTACAAGCATTACGTTATCGCTTATCTGAGCTGACTGCTCAAAGTGTTAGTATTCTTAATTCGTTATTCTAAACTGATTTTATTTCATGAAATCAAAATAAAATGACAGTTTGAAGTGAAATCGCACTGTCGATTCTTTTTTTTTGCGCATTCATAGTTTCATGCTGTAGGAGTGAACTCAAGTTCAGTGGTTAAATACCTTCGATACAGCTAGCGAATCCTATTGGTTGGTGTGAATAGTACACATTCTGGTATAAATTGCTTTTTCACAAGCGAAACGTCTATCTAGTGTTGAGATTATTTCAATCTGGCTGAAAAATAAACACTACTGGTTGATGTAAGTAGTATCCAACTACTGAAATCAGTCTATCAGTAGTATATATAACACCATGCATTTATGCTTGGTTTCTTGTTTATCATTTATCATTTTATGATCTGAATAATTTAGATTTCTAAATGGAACTGTAGTGGTATTTCTCTTCCAACAAGTTTGTAAATTACGCAGCTATAAATTAAGCTTCAATCATTAATATATGTGTAAAACTTGGGCACTACGGTGGTAAGTAATTCCATATTAGTTTGTTTATTAGATATACCACACAGTCAGTGAAACAGTATTATTTACTGGATGACAAGGTTTCGAACAAAATTTATTGTTCGTAATCATTTCATAAATTATAATCACACGACTTCGAAAGTCGAGTTTCATAGTTTTCTTTGTTCTCTCCTATTCATTGTCGCTGGGGTAGTAGAATTTTCCAGATATCCAACTGGACAGGTGATGAATCATTCCTATTACATGTATTTGCAGTTAATTGGATAAACAAAGCTACTGTTATCAATCTCTCCCTCCACCCGATGACATTGGATTCTAAAACTATCATCTTATCCCATCCTATTGAATGGTTTGTTGTGTGTAATTTCAAGTGGTGAGTGCTATAGCTGGACTATTCTCTAGATTTCTTATCCTGTTTGGGTCAGCCAATCTAGATTTCGCTAGGATTTTGTACTGCTCGGCTACTCTGACTGCCCCTGTTCTACTACTTCCACCTATGTATTTGACCTGACAACCATTGTAGACAGAGTATTAGATAAACTGAATTGTTTTGTTTTAAAGGCTTCACAGGATTGATCGTTTAACCGACAAAGCTTGTTTCTAATTGAGTTTGTGTGTTTGAATGCCAGCCACTTTTATTCCTGCCTTGTTAAGAATTCTGTGTTATGTTTCCGAGGTTTCTTCCTTGTATGGAATTACTACTGATGATTTAGATTCCTTATTGTTGGCGTTGTCTTGCGCGTATTTGACATGCATGTCCCCACTAATATTATTATTATTATTATCACTATCAATACTATCATTATTTATTTTATTTTTACATTTCCCTACATATTTTCTGACTAATTTATCAGGTTAATTATTAAGTCTGAAGGCTTCTCTTATACGTCTCACATCCTGTAATAGATTGTCCTTGGTACTAATTAGTTTTTGTGCCCTGCTGTCACTTAAACATTTCACCAATCCTATTGTTCCTAACATAAACTCAAAATGTGCCAAAAAAGCAAGATTGAAAATGGTCCATTGAAAACAAGTATAATAGAGAAAACCGATTCTTATTTTCGCTATGTTGATGATACATTTATTATTCTTGATGTGAAAGCTGACAAGAATGAAATGTTAATAAAATTCAATGATGCATATCCATTGCTTATCTTTACTTGTGAAGAAGAATATGATGGTGGACTACATTTCCTTGACGTCCAGTTGAGCAGAAGAGAGGATGGTTCACTCAAGAGAGATGTCTATAGAAAACATTCACCTGTAGGATAATATACACAGAGCCTCAGTTTTGTACTAATTTGATACAAAGTCAATTTGGTCAGATGCCTCACGAATAGAGCAAGACAGATCTGTGCAGATGACCCCCTAGAAAATGAGTTAGGATGCATGTAAAATACGCTAGTCCAAATGGGTAATCCTAGTAGATTTGTAAAGAGACACATGAATACCAAGTACAATAAAGAGAAACTGACAACAGTTGAAAAGAAACAACTGTTCATGAAGTTGCAATTTAATGGGGACGCGGCTAGCAAAGTCATACATCTGAGATTGTCGACAGCAATAAAACGGACTTATACCGCAACCACCACCCTTTGTTTGTCATTTTCCAGCTGTCAACCAATTATGATTGCTCAAGCGAAAGACAAGCTGCTTAGCTGTGCCACTTATATGTGTATCTACAAACTTAGTTTCTCCCGTGGATAGAGCTATATAGGGCGAACAACTAGACAGCTTAACACAAACGCATTAATGAGCATCCTCCTTCGTGGTTCAGAAATAGTCAGATAAAATCTATAAGAACTTCTGTTTTGCCTCATTTTATTGATAGCGGTCACCGAGTGGACAAGAAGAAGTGCCTTCAAAGTTATCTATCGCATTCCATCGAACCTATCGAATGGAATTCTAACCCTCCTTTTACAGATAGCCGCAACTATGGGAATTAATTCGCGAGAACAATTCTAGTGTTTGCATACAAAAGAAGTTTGTTCTACCTTTATCTCTCCCTTGGGTTAAGTGAATTCAACTCAAAACCCTTCCATACTTTCTTATTTTCCATCTCCTTCGTATTTTTATGATATTTATTTAAAATATGATTATTTGTCCACTTCACCTTTAGTATTACGTAACTTTTATGACTGGACCAAATTTATTTGTTGAATTGTCTACATATACACATATTACTACCTTTGTTATTCTTATCGCCACCTGCATAAACCTTATTATCAATATTTTGTTATCATTATAATCATCGTTATTAACTACATTCAAAACATTTACCACATTACTATTATTATTATTTGATCCACAAAATCACCGTCATTAGTTAAAAATGTTTATATATATAAAGAGCTATATAAGTTAGAGTGAAGCCTGAAGAAGATCTAATTGAAAACAGCAATATTGTTCGTTTATATGTCTTGTTCTAAACTGGTTATTGTGTAGTAACATGCATAGATTTATTTCTTTATAAATGTAATATCTCAAAAAATGCTTAAATAATTAGCGAGAAATTGTAAGTCAATTTAATTAAGCATAGAAGATCAATCAACTTACTGGTTCTCTTTGTCCTTTAGGATTCAGTACAATCACTTCAACAGCTCCTCGACCAGCACTGAATGTATCAATTGTAAATCGTGCTGGATTACCAACTGTATTGCCATGCGGTTCAAGACCTATTCAACAACAACAACAACAACAAAAATATCATCGATGGAGATAAATTAAGTGAAATGATATTTGAGAGGGAGGGAGAGAGAGATGGAGAAATAGTTACTCTTCTTGATTGAAACTACTCAGTCTCAAGCAAAACACATGATCAAGAAAGCTGTGTGTATGCTTATGGAAGTGTGTCAGCGGTGAATTATTCCCGGTGGCTGCCTATTCCGTGAAAGTTGATTTCTTCTTTAAACCCACTGAACTGATGGAGTGTTAATGTTGCCTAACTGCTGGGTTCACGGAAAAAATGCTTGACGTCGGTTATACATAGCCCATTTGAAGTGCTGGTCGCTACCTTGTAAGTTAGGATATACAGTTTTCGGGACCCTACAGTGAGTGGATTAAACTATGACGGTAACTGCTATTTGTCTAACCACTATGCAAAATGACATTTCTGGTATGTTAAGGCCTGAAGAAACATTCCTTTCAACAAGTATATCTCATTGAGTCGTTATGATAAGAAAGTAATCCCTAACGATCGCATCAAGATAGCAGCTATCAGTCAGGACATCAACACACAAAGCACAACCTTAAACTGGAGTAGTGAAAAACATACTTATATTTTCAATTTTTTATAACTATTAGAACTGTAGCAATGTTTCCAATGAGTTACCAATTCTCATACACATAATTTTCTGTTGCCGTTCATATAACTTATCGAATTCTTGTTACGGAACACCATCTGAGGGGAATTTTATAGCTAAATATCGTTTAATAATTTATTAGACTTTCTTTACGTTTCCTCTAGAACATAGGACTTCACTGAAACATCCTCAGTGTACTTAGTTCACTGAGAGCACTCTACACTGGTATTACGATTACCCACAATCTTTCCTCTCTTCATCAAATAATCCTGTCTACGTCACTCTTGGATGGACACGCAACATATGGTTTCTCATAGAAGTACCATTCAACAACCTGCATAGCGTGGGATGCAGTTTGAAGGTTTCCTAAGCGAATATCCAACCCATATCTATTTTCATCTGCCAAATTGTTGAGCAACAACAGAATTTTGGTTGGTTCATCGCACTATTGCAGTTCCGAGTTCCCAGTATGAAGTAGAACTTCAAACTTTAAAGTTTCATTAGCAGTGGAGGTCGTTAGTTTCACACTTCATGTAGGTTACTGGGAACCGAGCTCAGATCACGTGTGTGGCAAGTGAGCATTCTGCCGTTGAACCCTCCTGACGTACAAGGATGTTTATTTAGGTCAGAAAAGCGAGAAGAAACTGTAAGCACAAATGGAACTGATATCTAATCTTTTTTTATTACTTCACATTCCCCAGTGGAACATAAGGACTTAAGCTAGTGGCTTGAAGTTTCTGTAGTAGTGTTTAATTTTACAGGATGGGGTTGCTAGCCTCATTACCATCCTTTCCTCTTTACCAGCATTATTTCTGGTTAAGCGAGGTAAAGGAGTGCGTCTGTGGTCAGGGATCGAACCCCCGACCATGTGCATGGTCAGCGAGAATCCTAACCGCTGTGCCACCAACGCATATCCAGTCTTTACTAACAATAAACAGTAACTTTGTCTCCGTGCAATGTGCACATTTTTCTTTCTTATGATCTATTTTGTTTCTGAAAAAGTAAATAATGTGTGAACATACCGAATAAAACATTGCTAGCGTTTTTCCCTCCTTTTCTTTGAATTACATACATACATATTTTACAGAAGTTGTAAACATTTTCAAAGATTTATGTCCTTTTTAGTAGAAACAGTATAGGTCAGTCATACCATGGGAACGATATAAATAGTGGTGAAAAATAAGCGGGGAAGGGGTGGGTGGAAAGTAAGGATCAAAAGTAACTGAAAGGCATTTCAGCGCATAGTAGTACCATGATGAACGCCACAATAGGTATTTCAACTGTGTAAACAAATCAATAAAATACCTTGTTAGAAGGTCAAATGTAACATATGCTTTGATTTTGGTATTTCCTTAAACATAAAATTATATAAGACCAGCTAAGTGAAGAAATTCCTATAGCGAGTGACTGCTTCTGGCTCATCTATGTCAAGAAGGCACGAAAGAAACGGAGGTAAATTTGTTTTGACGATCACTCATAAGGGCACTCAGTTTCTAATCTTAGTAGCCCTACTATCACTTAATCGAGTGTAGATGTTATCCGGTCGACGAGTTTCACACAGAACAAAATGCGTAAACTGCTTTTTACTGTAAACCATTATTAACCAAGTAACATTAATGGAGGCAGTTCTGCGATTAAATGGGTGACAGAAATACTCTTTGGTTTTCTATTTATTAAGATAAGTCATATTCACCTTTAAAAGCACACACTTCAAATCCAAGTATCCGTTGAAGATGTTGCCTGGTAGGCCAATGAAAGTTTCACGAATAAACCATCCAGCTACTCCAGAGAACACATCTACATCAAAATCATCCACCTGAGCTACAAATCTTCTCCATTATTATCAAACAAAGGTTTCGTAGGAGTCAGGTGTGGCACTCTCCTGAAAAGTATATTCAAACTTCCAGCATTTGACAGTTTAGTGGATTCAGGAGCTCAGTACGAGTTAATACATCTACTCTATTGAAAAGGATTTGGGACTAAGTAACCAAAATTCTCACTGATACTGATTTCTAGCGTCTCGATGACCCAGTGGCACAGGCTACACCTCTCAAATCAAATAGACTCAAATCAATAGCTTGATGTTTCATAGATGATTGATGCTCTAATTAATAATTATCATTCGAATCTTGTGTCAGATAACATTAATCAACTGACCTAACTGCAGTATGATTCACCACATTAGACTAATTAACCTAGCAGATACAGTACAAAGATTCTTTAGTTAAAGATAGCTAACCTGATGAGGTCTTACACTTTTAATGGCTATATTTCACAGCTATAAGACGTGTGAAATGCTGGGGAGGGGGTGGTGGGGAATAGAAATACTTGGTAGAAGATTATTTAAGTTATGTGCATGTTTTAATTCAAAAGAATACGTGTCTGTATTCTACTGGAAACTGATCTCACTTCAAAGATTTGAATTCATCTAACCCACTGTTGGAATCAGAGAAAGAGAAGATGTTCAGCGAAGAGACTCTTTCCGATGGCGAATTCATTCATACAGCTGTACAATCGTATTTATATATAATTATTTGTGCGTATGTGTGTACATGAGGTTTGCCAAGTTTCGATAATTGATCAGGTAATACAAGAATGATCTAATATAGAAACAAGGTTAATCAGACAGCAACTAAAGTAAGATTGAGTTAGTTAGTAAGTTAGATGACGTAATTTAATTGACTAAAATGTTTCAACTGAGGTCAGGGTAGCAACAGAGGAATCAGAGAAACTGGTAATGAAACATTTCAGATGCAACCAATCTCTTGTATGATCCCGTTGCATATATCCATCAGTCACTAAGGTGTTAGCACTACTGTGTTATTCAACCGTTAACGCTTATCAAATTCTTGGTGTTCTCACGTCTCTGAGTTAGATAGAGTGCTTGCTACCTTCAAAGTTAGTTTTAAAAATATTACCAGCTCAGAGAGTACAGCAATACCAAAAACACATCTCCCTGATTGATAAATTCTCTCAATGAGATCAAAAGTTTGAAACACTCACTATCACAATGCGTATAATTTATTCTACAAGCTATACATATTTACTTCAAGCTGATTGGCTAAAATACTCTCAAGGTCATATATTTCAGCAATTTAATGAATTAATTTTACCTGAGAACCACCAATCAAAATAGAATGCAGTCTAATGCAGACAAAACCATGGTATCTCTGGACATAACATCTTTATTCACAAATGTACCTCTAGTAGAAACAGTCAACTACATATGTGAACAAGCGGATAACCAGCCGACCAGCATTGACATCCGTACTGAAATCCTTAAAGAATTGTTAATAAGGTGTACCATGAATGTAAACTTCAAATTTGACGGCACAATTTACAGACAAGTGGACGGGGTGGCAATGGGCGCCCCATTGGGTCTCATTTTGGCAAATTTCTTTCTAAGTAAATCAGAAAATGCACCTTTGAACAACCTTTCAGAAAGTTCTCATTTTATTGCCGGTATATGCGTGACAACTTCATACTTTGTGATAATGATTCAGATAGGAGTACAATAATTACTGAATTCAATAAAATTCGCATGCGAAGAGGAATCCCAAGAGAGAACTGCCTTCCTGGATATCCTCTTCACAAGAAAACCACATGGTAGCATAAAAAGAAATTTACACAGAAAAAGTACATGGACAGGACAATATGCACATTTTCACAGCTTCGTTCCTATCAAGTACAAAAGAAATTTAGTGAAGACCCTCAGCCACAGGGTTATTTAGAGCTATATGCTCAGAAGAAGTAACTGAAGATGAATTAAGCATTGTATATTATACTTTGGTCGGAAATAGCTATCCCGAAAAATTTATCAAGAAAAACCTGACAAAGAAAGCGGAAAAGAACTATTCACTATCTGTAAATAAGAAACCTGTTTATATACGACTGAAATTCAAGGGCGCTATATCAAGTGAGATAATTACGAAGAAATTAAGATAATCAGTTCAAGGAACTTTGAATGCTGGGGAAATACTCGTCTAATTCTCTACACGACCGATGGTGATACCTCACCTGAAAGATGAAGTATATGGACTGGCTATGTCATATTGTATCTACCAATTCAACTGCATTTGTGAAGCCGTTGTTCTAGTAGCTTGATTATACGTGCTCTCTCGAGAACATCTCCCACTATGGCTAAGTAAAGGTGTAGTGAAAACCATTAACACTTCGATATTGGATCATGTGGTGAAAACCGGACCCTGACCTTCAGTAGAGACTATAAACTCATGAATTTGTAATATTATCTTTCCTAATTTTTCTGACATTCAGTGTATTGTTATGTTCATGCTATCCAACTGTTATTCATTGATATTATTATTATTATTGGTTCGATGTTATTTAAACAAACATTAATGTTGTTCATAATA